AACATTCGCTTATCCCATTTGTTGCGAATTGTGTCAGATTATATGCTCTTCCCAAAATTCACGAAAGTGGTATTTCTTTCCACCCTATTGTATCAAATTTAGGTACTGCCTCGTATCCCTCAGCTAAATATTTGGTTTCTAGATTTTCAACTCTATTAGACTATAACATTTACACCATAAAAATTCAAGAGCGTTTGTAAAAAAAGTTAAAAACATTTCTCCTAGAAATTTACTCATAGTTTCTTTTGATGTAAAAGCATTATTCACCAATGTCCCAGTGGAGGGTGCATTAAGATGTCTAGAAACCAGACTTCGCGAATTTCATTTCTCTTGCATCGAAATTGATGAGCTATTTCTCTCACCCAACTCTGTTTGACAAACACATTTTGTTTCCAAAATAATATTACAAGCAAACTGAGGGATTAGCCATGGGAAGCCCCCTCAGTCCCATCCTGGCTGATATCTACATGCATTATTATGAATCAAAATTGTTTAAACTTTAAACTTCCCGGCATGGTTCCGCTACGTAGACGATACTTTTACCCTGTTTGAAGTAATAAAGATGATTTAAATAGAGTTCTTTCAACAATGAATTCTATTGATCCTGCTATTCAGTTCACTTTTGAACTTGAGACTTGCAATTCTCTCCGTTTCTCGACATTCTGGTCACACGTAACACATCCAACTTCAGTACTACAGTTTACCGTAAACCTTCATCGGTTTGCCTTCCACCACACTTTAAATCATGTCATCCGACTAAACAAAGTTAGCTTCATTTTATTCCTATGTTTTCCGTGCTCTTCAAGTTTGCTCCTCCAAACTAGCCCTTGATGAAGAACTAAATTATTTAAAAGCAATAGCTATTGACAGGGGCTTTTTCACCCAACATTATTAATCAAGCAGTTAAAAATTCTCATCTCAACACACTAAAAGCCACACTCTTATTTTAGGAGATTATAAAAATTCTGTGTCATTCCCTTCTTTCCATCAATTAGCTATAAGTTGCACATATTTTGCAGAAATTTAACTTTCGGGTTTTTTACTCTCCCATCAATAAATTCCAACTTCTATACTCAAGGACCCCATTCCGGATAGAATTCCTGGGGTATTTATAGGATTCCTTGCCAGTGCGGTTTAATTTACATTGGCCAAACTAAGAGAGCCTTAAAATTTCGCGTCAAAGACATGAGGCATGTTAGAAAAAGGAGGAACACAGAAGTCTTCTGTTGCTCAACATTGTTTGTCCGAAATCACACTTTCATTTTTCTGCTGCCAAAATTATTCAAAAAACATCTTCCATTGGAGAACTGGATTTTCTAGAGGCATTTCACATTCATAAAAATCTTTCTGTTCTAGTTAACGATCCTAATTCCAATCCAAATTTGCCTTCGGCTTTAGAGAAATTATGTTTTAGTTCTGGTTCGCCAACAGATGGGCCACTTGCTTATTCTTGTCCAGGCTTTCTTATCTTATCTAAACATTATTTCCTATCTTGTTCATTTGCGGTTTGCAGCTGAAGATGTGGTTCGTAAAACCATCGAAACTAGTCCTGTGAAGTTTGTAAATAACGCTGATTTTGTTGTTTGACTTCTGAATTAGCAAATTTCGCGTGTTATGTTGTCTTATTATAGAAGCCCCAAACAGGCTTACATTTTGCTTTCTTTTTTGCACGGTGTGGCGCCATTTTGTGATTGTAGGAGTTTCGGTGAGTACATTTTTGCAATTTTCAAGTTAGTTTTAGTTTTGTACATTTGGATATTGGTGCTTTGCTTGTCTGATTCATGCATTTTGCTTACAAACATTTTGTTTTCCTATTCATTTCAGTGAGGGATTTTTTTGCTATTTTGTGTGTACTTTATTATTGCTCAGTTAATTTAGTTTGATTTTCTGCATTGTTTATCATGCCTTCATCCGTTAATCGTTTCACTAAATTACGCCTGAACGGCAAAAATCCTGAATCATCTTGACTTTTTACTTTAAATGTAAATGTAAAAAAATTGATCCCCATTTTATTCAAATCAAATCTAATCAAAAACCTTCGAGTCGCGTTTCAAGAATTCTGTTAAATTGCAAACTTGCCTTACTTCGGTCCGTGATAAGGGCTACCGTCAACAATTGTCCAAAATTGAACATGAACTCTATAAGCTTCATCTGGAACTCGCTAAAACATATCCAAATTCACTGCCCTTGAACAAAAGTCTTGGTCTAGAACGGAGAATGCCGTTAACCGTCATAAAAACCCTTGTAGTTAAATTCGAAAAACTACTTTTACAGTCTCCAGTTCAAGTAGTTCAAAAAATCTTCCCATTGTAAACATCAAGCCAATAGTTAATATTTCTAATGTTAGTCTTTCAGAAGAACAAGAGAGAATTCTAAAATATAATTTTAACTTCTCACAAACCTGTAAACCCTCGATTCCAAAGATTTTGGCTCATCGAAAAGCTTTCAAGTTCAGTAAAGTTTCAGATTCACAGAAAGAAATGATTAGGCATCTTATCGCTCATATGTGAAATTCAATAATAAACCTTTGAAACCAAATCTGACTGCGAGAGAAAGAGCTACAATGCGCGAGATTCATTCTAACCCGGATATTGTCATTTCAAAGGCCGACAAAGGTGGCCAGATAGTCGTCATGGATAAGAACACTTACATCGATGGTGTCACTAAACTCTTAAACGAGGACCATATAATCCGATCCCTAAAGATCCTTCACCTTCGGACTTATCCAAAATAAAAACTGCGATCAAATCTTCGCAAATCATTTCAAGCCAACTTAAAACATTCGCTTATCCCATCTGTGCGAATTGTGCCAGATTATATGCTCTTCCCAAAATTCATAAAAGTGGTATTCCTTTCCGCCCTATTGTATCAAATTTGGTACTGCCTCGTATCCATTAGCTAAATATTTAGTTTCTAGATTTCCACTCTATAGACCATAACATTTACACCATAAAAATTCAATAGAGTTGTAAAAAGGTTAAAAACATTTCTCTCGTAATTTACTCATGGTTTCTTTTGATGTAAAATCATTATTCACCAATGTCCAGTGGAGGGTGCATAAGATGTCTAGAAACCAGACTTCGCGAATTTCTTTCTCTGCATCGAAATTGATGAGCTAATTTCTCTCACCCAACTCTGTTTGAAACAAACACATTTTGTTTTCCAAATAAATATTACAAGCAACTGAGGGATTAGCCATGGGAAGCCCCCTCAGTCCCATCCTGGCTGATATCTACATGCATTATATGAATCAAAATTGTTTGAAACTTTAAACTTCCCGGCATGGTTCCGCTACGTAGACGATACTTTTACCTGTTTTGAAGGTAATAAGATGATTTAAATAGAGTTCTTTCAACAATGAATTCTATTGATCCTGCTATTCAGTTCACTTTTGAAATTGAGACTTGCAATTCTCTTCGTTTCTCGACATTCTGGTCACACGTAACACATCCAACTTCAGTACTACAGTTTACCGTAAACCTTCATCGGTTTGCCTTCCACCACACTTTAAATCATGTCATCCGACTAAACAAAAGTTAGCTTCATTTTATTCCTATTTTTTCCGTGCTCTTCAAGTTTGCTCCTCCAAACTAGCCCTTGATGAAGAACTAAATTATTTAAAAGCAATAGCTATTGACAGGGGCTTTTCACCCAACATTATTAATCAAGCAGTTAAAAAATTCTCATCTCAACACACTAAAAGCCACACTCTTATTTTAGGAGATTATAAAAATTCTGTTGTCATTCCCTTCTTTCCATCAATTAGCTATAAAGTTGCACATATTTTGCAGAAATTTAACTTTCGGGTTGTTTACTCTCCCATCATAAAATTCCAACTTCTATACTCAAGGACCCCATTCCGGATATGAATTCCTGGGGGTATTTATAGGATTCCTTGCCAGTGCGGTTTATTTACATTGGCCAAACTAAGAGAGCCTTAAAATTTCGCGTCAAAGAACATGAGGCATATGTTAGAAAAAAGGAAACACAGAAGTCTTCTGTTGCTCAAACATTGTTGGTCCGAAAATCACACTTTCAATTTTTCTGCTGCCAAAATTATTCAAAAAACATCTTCCATTGGAGAACTGGATTTTCTAGAGCATTTCACATTCATAAAAATCTTTCTGTTCTAGTTAACGATCCTAATTCCAATCCAAATTTGCCTTCGGCTTTTAGAGAAATTATGTTTTAGTTCTGGTTTCGCCAACAGATGGCGCCACTTGCTTATTCTTGTCCAGGCTTTCTTATCTTATCTAAACATTATTTCCTATCTTGTTCATTTGCGGTTTTGCAGCTGAAGATGATGGTTCGGTAAAACCATCGAAACTAGTCCTGTGAAAGTTTTGTAAATTAACGCTGATTTTTGTTGTTTGACTTCTGAATTAGCAAATATTCGGCGTGTTATCGCTGTTGTTAGTTATCGAAAAATAACCAAGATGTGATTTTTGCGTAAATGTCACTAAACTATACAAATTGCTATTATCCATCCCACTATGAATGTTTCTTTCATGCGAAAGTGTCCCTTTTCGATTCTGTGGAACTGTCGTGTGTCGAAATACTATCAGAATTTTGTCAAGCGAGCTTCTGAATGTAAACAAAAAACACCCCGTCTGGTGACCCAAGCTTCAAAGCAGTGCTTCACTTCTAGCGCGGAATGGCCCCTCCTCCCTTTCCTACCTCCATGTTCCAGCATGACTTCGTGGTGTAACGATAGCACACTCGGTGTATACGAGAGGTCCAGGTTCCAGTTCCTGCGAGGGCACTGCACATTTTTCACGTCTCCTGCTTCAAAATAATCGTAATGGCTAGACAATTTTTATCATTTTTGGGGGGGGGCTTTGAATCTACTTGGAATTTAAAGCATTTTAATAAAATGAATAATTAATTATTAATTAATTACAGATAATTATTAATAATCAATAATAATTCTTTAATAAAGAAGTTATGCAATTTTCACATGATATTTACCTTTCTTTGCTTATTTATTTATTTATTTTCAGGCTATGAAACTGAAACCTATCAAGCTTACATCGAATGTGCGAAACATAAACCCCAAAGAGTAAGTATTAATGTGCGTTTCAGACTAACTCAAAAAGTGCTTATCGTGGAACGTGTGACCGCATAATCCCCAAAATATGAAGTAAAGCAAATTATTATGACTGGCTCAAGCAAACATCTTTTATCTTGTTTTGCAAAACATTTATCGAAGTTTCATTGTACACTCTTAATACATGTGGAGTAATTTGATTTAATGCAAGCTATGAATAAGTTGTTCCATATTAAATACGAACTTTAAAATCGAAATTTTTATAGTTAAAAATTATTAGGTACTTGTTTCAAGAAACAGCAAACTAGTAAACAAATATCTTATTTGCTTTTTACAATTGCTAGATAAAAAGTGTAATGAAATTAATTATTTTATGTGCTAATCAAAAAGCCCATTCAGGGAAATTCGTGTGATTCAAGTGAAGAGTATTTTTAACCATTAAAAGGCCATTCTTTTTTACTTCCTTGTACGAAGTAAAAAGGAACTATTGTAATCGCGAAAAGTTTCAGCCATCATATTTCAAGGCAAATATTCATTTTCACCACTATCGAACGCAATTTAACGATATTTTCCGTGACATCTGTACGTAAGGACAGGATAAACGACTCTTTCTCCCCCCCCCCAAAAAAAAATTATAAAACTAATTTTAAATGAATTCTGAAGAGAATTTTTTGTGGCGTATGTGCGTGCGTACGTACGTATCTCGCATAACTCAAAAACGAGTAGCCTCAGAACGATAAAATTCTGTATATAGGACATCTATAACATGTAGATGTGCACCTCGTATTTTGGTTGCAATCGGCCTATGATTTTAAATTCACTTAGTTCGAAATCAAGTTATTCTAATACTTGCGCAATAGCTGCAAAGTAAGATAATAATAATTTATTTACTAAAGAAATATTAATTATATTATCTCCTAATATTAATTTTAGTAGAAGTATCTAAAAAGAGAGAACCCATAGGTAGTAAGTTTAATTCCGAAAATTGTTTTAAAGTAACTTGAATGCAAATTGTTAAAAATGTTTTACGGGGACTTGAATTAAATCATGAATAACAAAATTTCAATTGGAAAAAGAAATTAAGTTAAAAGCAAAGTAATCATTGCCATTGATCGGAAATTAGTTGACTTTTCAAGGGGAACAAACCAACTCCCGTTCAATGAACAATAATTAATAAATAAATACGAAGGTGTTTCGTCCTTTACTCAAGTAAAAAGGTGATGCCAAACTGGCAAATTAAGTTAGCCAAATATTTCCGTGAAGTGAAAGGGATCTAGAACCAATGCAGAGCACCAAAGAACTCATTTTGATTATGTATTTTCGCTAATACAATTTTGAGTGAAAAGCAATTTATGCAGTAAAAATTGATGAATTACTTGAATAATTGTCCCCCGACACCCTCTTGTTTATGCATTTTAGTTTAAATCTATTTGTAAAAAATTAAACATTGGAAATTGGAATTATGAAATATAACTCAATGTAATTGAAATAAACATTAGAACATTAAAAAATATAAGAAATATAATGCAATCTTTGCAAAAACAAATCAAATAATAAAAAATTGAAAATTAATATATATATAATAAGAAAAGGAAATGTACATGAAGATATAAAAGGCCAGAAAAAGCATTAATTATCTTACGTTCTTTCTAGTGGGAAGTGGCCAAAGTGTTTTCTTCGGCGTCTTAGTCAGAAGGGCTGTGTGTCCGAAATTCTTTATCGGCAGCGGGGGCTTTGAACTATTTCAGGCGTCGAAACTTGTGAGAAGTAATTTATGGGATAGGGAGGAACTAGGAATGCTTGAGGGACGTATGTTGGGGAGTTCTTATGTCTATTAAAATTTTTGAATATACTAATGAATGGAAATTAATTAATTTCTGGCTAATTGTCGTGTCGGAACGAGGGAGAAATTAAGAAAAGAAATAAGGAATTATCATTGTCAAAGAGCTATTTGACAGACTAAAGATTACGAAATAGGCCCATCTTGTTAGTAACAGCATAAGAAAAATGTTGTTCTTATCTTCCGGTTAAGGTTTTTATGCCTTTAGTAAATCTGTATGCAATATTTTTAGAATTATCAACAATTTTAAAGTTGTTTAAGTGCCGCTAAGCCTAACAATTTTTTTGATGGCGGCTATTGCTTGTTTACATTTGAAACAGCAGGATAGTGGATTTGTTGCCAATCTAGGAAAACTTAGCTTCGCAACAACGCCCTTCTTTTATTATTGCGAATTAAATCATATTTAAACAAATCTGGAATTTATTCGAGGAAATAAGTATTGAAGATTTACTTCCTAATTTTTAATATAGATATTTTGATTTTTTATGTATTTTTGCCTTCTCGCGAAGTGAGAACTGAATTAATTGAATGTGAAATACTGAATCGTCTGTGAAAAACTGTTTCTTTTTTGTTTTGTTTGCTTAATTTCTTTTATACATCGTTTTAGATTTATTATAGTATTTGAATAGAAAATGTGGCAATCATTAGATAATTCTTCAAATGATATAAATTTATATGCATTCTGAGTTATAATATGAACGAAATGTAACGCTTAAGTGAACCTAGCGCCAGTGTATCGCTATAGTAAACAAATATAGGGAATTTTAAAGAGTGCATTTATTCTATTTTGGTTTATGCGGTATCTACAAAGTAAATTTAATTCAATCCAATAAGTTTAAATGAAATGCAAGAAAAAATGCGTATAATTTAATATTCCGTACAAGAAAGTCATGTGGTGCACACATCAGAGTTTTTCTTTTTAATGTTTTATTTTTAGAGGAATATTTTTATCATTTTCAACAATCATTTCAAGCACCTCTTGCTGAATCACTGAAACTGGTGTATTAAATTTTCAAATAATATATTCTATACTCATATTAAATGAAAAATTAAATTTTCAGTTTAAAATTCAGAAATTTACATCATAGATATGTAAAATGAAGAAATAATGAAAAGCAATTTTACACCCTGGAAAGTCTTCAGTTAAAAGAAAGCCGAGATGCACTAAATATTTTCATTATTTTAACATAATTGTCAAAATCATCGCCTACAAATTCAACAGCTCTGGACTCATATACAAGAGCTAAACTTTAAGAATATATTGAACCTAAAAATCAGATGCAGGATTTCTATCAACTTCTAACGGGTAACAAATAAGCATTTTCTCAACAAGGGGACGGAATAAACCTTTTGCTATGGTATGTTGTTAGAAGGTTTCGATTTCAATGTTAATAAGTTGGGATATCAACTTATTAACGTTGAATCTTACTAACATTGGGATATCAACTTATTAACAGTAATTATATAAGCTGTTTAATGTTTATGTAATTAGTTTAAAAGTTAAATATGCATTTTTTAAGTTCGCAAAGATGGATTTTTCTAACACGTACCGAAATATTTCAAGTAGGTCTGTACATTTCTATACCATTTTAAGTATATTTATTAACTCCTAGAACCATACAGACAGGACTTATCACCCTGTCTTGCTTATGTCAGCCTGACAATTACACAAGTTATTGAATAACATAAAAGCCCCTTCATGCGTGAGAACTCTGGACAAGTGCTAAAAATCAGATTTAATATTAAATACAAAGGAACATGCGCTTAACTAAATTTTGGATCATGCTTTTTTAGTTCACGAAACAATTGTGGATAAAAGAGCTAAAACGAGCAATCAAATCAGTAGCAAAGATAAACAATAGAGTGACTGGACAATGATGGCTGTCAGAGGCTCTGTCTGTAGAACTCAAGAATTCTGGGCTTAAATGCACTAATTAATTTGCATCCTAGTGGTAGATCCTGAAAATAGAAGTACAAACAAAATAATGAGAATTAACACAAACTCCTGCATGTGTTTCCAACACGAAATCACTTTAAACCGCGAATAGGTATTTCAAAGAACTTGCTTATTTTTAAGGAAAGGTTAAATTAGAATTCTAACATATCCCCCCCCCAAAAAAAAATTAGGAATTAGTTTTTTTTTTTTTTTTTTTTTTTTTTTTTTTTTTTTTTAAGAGTTTTGAGCAAATACTACAGAAAATTCTTTTACAATTTAGTAGACAAATATCACAAAAAAGGTTACTTTAAAAATTCGGGTAGACATCTCGAAAAGACTTTAGATTTTCGATTTTACTTAGAATTTGAATCATTCTGAAGTCAAATATAATCTCACATTGTTTTTCATGTCTCAGTACAACAAAGTTATCCCAAGTTTTATTACTGGAGAAATTTCATATAAAATTTAAAGCTATCTCCTACTTTCATCTCCGTTATGATTATAATAACCTTTCCTATATTAGCTGTGTTGGGAGGGATAAGATTATATAAAAAAAAAAGGTTAAAAAAGGTTATTAAAAGGTTTTCAAAGTATGAATGCTTAATATCTCTCCTTTTATACAGAGCCTTGATATCACGCAAAAGTGCATAGAAATGTATTTCCCTCCAACCACTACTGAAAGTGAATTAACAACCCAAGTCTGCGAAAATCCAGAAATTGCGGGAAAGGTAAGCACTCCTTAACTATTATGTTACTTAATTTTGTTATCAAAATGTTACGGGAAAAGCATTTCTAGATTTGGTCCTACGAATCTAACAACTGAAGATATTTTGGTTGATTCTTGGTTGACTGCAAGACTTTACTCAGTTTTTTAATCGCACAAAGAAAGTTAAAAGATTGTTACCATTAAATGATAAGAGTTTTCTTTATTTGAAATTTATCATTTCGATGGTAATTAAAAATAAAAAATATATTGTTATAATGTTTAATCTTTATTATATGCGGCTTAAGTGTCTGTTTGTCGTCGATAGTTTACTGAATGCTTGCGTAACTGTACTAGTCAATAGGGTGAAGTTGCCACGGCATTCAAATAGTCCATATACACTGATACCATACATGCAGTTATCATTGTTTTAATTAAATTATCATGGTATTTAAGAACATTTAAATATTTTTAATTCATACAATTGTTGCTTATTATGCATTTAACTATAGTTACATATGAATTACCTAGAAACTTGCAAACGTTAAGAAATTAAAGGAGACGAAACTAACTAACGAGTTGTGGGTAGTAGATCTTCTCAGGTAAGTTTATCCAAACTCCTATGCTAAATATCCTTTCGTGTAAAGAGCTTAAAAATTTGCCCGATTTTATTCCGACATTGTATTTTAAACTGAATTTTCAGCTGAACGCAAGTTGAGCGTGTCGGGGGGGGGAACGTGAACATCTGTTTGCATTAGCAATCATCTGTTTTTGAAATGGTTTACAACTGAACGCAAACTGAGTGTGTCAGGGGAAAGGTGACCATTTGTTTGCATTGGCAATCATCTGTTTTACATAAAAACTACGCCTTAACGTAATTTCTTTTAAGAATGCCTCCTAGAAAATACAGCACTGAAGAAGAGTTGAGTTGAGTTGAGAGCAGAATCTGGACACCCGTGTGGCTTACTAAGACTATTCGGGTCTAGTCCAGGTTCCGCAACTATCCGGGGCAACACCTCATGGGGCCTATAAGGGCATACATTGGTCCTGTATACATGCTTACATAGTTCATAACATATGCTTATAGTTACATAGTTCATAGTACATACTTATATACAAGTAGTTCATAATACATAGATCTTTCATAATACTTGCTTATAGTTACATAGTTCATAGTACATACTTATATACAAGTAGTTCATAATACATAGATCTTTCATAATACTTGCTTATAGTTCATACATATACATGTTTACATAGTTCATAGTTGCTTACATAGTTCATAATATATTGAGCCTGTTACATAATACATACATAGTTCATAATAATTTTCATTGGCCATAATACATACATGTTTCATAATATATACAGTGGGCCGTAATACATACATGTTTCATAATATATACAGTTAAAAAAAAAAAAAGAGAGAGAGAGAGGAGAGATTGACAGGGAACTATTCCACACTGCACAAATCTGTTCCCAATTCCTCCAGTTTCTGCATTATCTTGCATATTTTGATGCGAAATGCTGGCTGTTTTATCAGATAACGCTTATGAGAAATTGCCTGTTCCGGAAGCTGTACATGCCACTGTGCGGTTAGAGGGCATTGGGTCAAGTAATGGTCTGGTTTACCAATGCCTCCACAGACACAACTTTCGGTATTTGCAGTTCCTCTCTCATAGTAATAGGAGGGAAAAGGCCCGTGCCCCGTCACAAATCTCGTTATTTGTGGGGATGACTCGAGACGATCGATCGAAACTTTATGGTAATATTCATAGGCCTTCCTGCTTTGTTCGGTAGAGTCCCATTCCCATTGCCACTGGTGCTGAGCTGCCGTCCTTGTCACATTTTTAAGGTGAGGCCACGGGAGTTTGGTAATTACGCATTGTGCATCGATATTGTGAGCTGTTTCTTTTTCTAGCCTGTCGGCTTCCTTGAATGCCGGCATGCGCATTCAAGGTAATGAGGAAGCCGCAAGATATGAGGATATTCATTGTCGACGAACGCTCCTTCAGCGTGTCCTGAATCTCCGCTACGATAGGAGAAGGATGTCTGGGGTTTCGTAAGGCATATATGACCGAGAGGCTGTCTGTAAGAATATTAATAGTGGATCCTACTGGGGGGCTTGTTAACTCGATAGCTTTGCGAATCGCAATTGCTTCAGCCTGGAAAACTGAATTATTCTGCCCCATATGACCTTTCCATGTTATCAGCGTTTCCTTGTTCTTAGTTACTATAAGGCCACAGCCTACTTGTCCGTCAACTTTTGAACCATCTGTATAAACATAATATTGATCCTTTATGTCAGAGTCATCTTTCCATGATGTGTGGGCCGAGACTCCTTTTCCGTAGTTAGACGAATGGATGACATTTACTGGCCTTATTTCTTCATGGAGACTGTGCTGAGAGGTAGTGTGTGCTATAACCCCTTTTCCATGGTGTGAAGGATGGGTTGCATTTATGAGACGTTTTGTTTCATACTCCTCTGGATCATAGCATCGTTGTCCAAAAGTAGTGCAGAGATGTAATTGGAGAACAGTCGTTACTGCTGCTTCTTGTGCTGCTCTAATATGTAATGGCCAAAATCCCGCCAGCATTTTGGCTGCCGCTGTCGATGTTGTACGGTATCCTTTTGTAATAGCCAGATCAAAGGGGCATTGTATACTACTGAGCAATTTTCTTTTCCTTTCGTTCATTGGAGTTTCCCAGATTGCCGCTCCATAGAGGGCCATTTTTTCCACGACGGATTGATAGAGGATTTTTAGGATATGTGGTCTAAGGCCCCAGTCTGAGCCTTGAAGGCCCCTTAAGGTATTTGCAATTGCGTGTGTCCTCGCGCGAGATCGAGATGAGGCAGCCAGGAGAGCTTTTCATCGATTATAAGCCCCAGCAGTTTTAGTTCCCGAGTTCGTTTGATTATACGGCCCTTTAATTTCAAAACTGGATTTCTTGCGAGAGTTTCACCTGGTTTGTGTACGATCAAATACTTTGACTTTTGCTCCGAGATGGTGAGTTTCTTGCCTTCACAGAGCCGTACATATTCTGCTATGGTCTCATTACTGTTACTTTCCAGCTGGTCTCTCGATTTGCCTCTGATGATAAATGTCGCGTCATCAGCAAAAGCAATCACCTTTGTGTGGGTTGGCCACAGTGCTTTGAATGGAATTAAAAGTTGCATTCCATAGGTCAGGACCTGCACATGAACCTGAGGGCAGCCCCTGGTCTGCTTTCTCTCAACAACTCCTCCGTCATGCACTGCTACAAGAGTGCGATCAGAGAGATAACTTTTGCACACCTGCAACAGATTAGCACTGAAGAAGAGAGAAACGGAGCTAAAGCTGCACAAAAAACGGCTTTCTCGACAAAAAGAAAACCACTGAGCAGAGAAAGGCAAGGTTTGTTTCAGTGGCAGTGCAAATGCGTCTTTCTCGTTAAAATGAGACTGATGAGCTTTGCACAAATCATTTTAATTACAATTTATAATATCTAGAACAGCGGTCATTTCGTATGAACGCCGTACTTTGTAGTGAAATATAAATGATATAATAATATTTACTGACAATAGTTAGTGAAATAGACACGTACATAACACGGTAAGGACCTGTGTTCGAACTCAATGAATTAAAAGAAATGTTTTGCTGCTGTCCGACTTAAAATATCTTTATCTTCAAAGCGGCAATGTTTTATCATTCAGCAAAGCGTAAGATAATTAACTTTTCTTTAAAATTTATCTGTTATTCACTAATAAATTAACGATTTAAAAGAAACAAATGCAGGTTCCTTTCTGTTATCAATTCTAACTGGACTCATGGAATTACACTAGCTGGATTCATCATATTCACATTCAGTAATATGTAAAACTAATATCAATATTAGTTTTACTTATTACATTAGCAACAAAATTTTCTGTTTGTATCGTACTCAACAAAACACCAGAAATTATCTTACTGGTTGCAACAGGGCGTTCTATATGTCAGATTTCACTAGAAGCTGAGAAGTAGCAGAACGTGGCTGAGGCTGAATTTAAGTCCAGTGTATTAATATACACTCATGTCCATAAATTAAAGATAATGCAAAATCAGGCAAAGAAAGAGTTAGAAGCAAAACAAATTTGACTTATTTGTAAAGCTTATTTATTAAACAAAAGGTAAAGAGCAAAAAAGATGCTATATGTTTGATATTATTAAAAAAAATTAGCGATTTTTTCTACCTGGAGCAAATTACAAAAAAACCTATTTACAAAAAACCAATATTACATGGTTGGTATGATTTTTAATACATTGTATGTCTCCCAGACGATGCAATACAGTCCGTACAACGCCTAGGCATGCTGACTATCAAATTATCGATCTGATCTTGGGCGATATTACACCACTTAAAAAGCAATGCACTCCGAAGTTCCGGTAGACATGTAGGACGTGGTTGACGGGCTGCAACTCGTCGGCCAAGCATGTCCCACACGTGCTCTACTGGATTCAAGTCCGGTGAGAATGCTGGCCAGTCCATACGGGTGATATCCTCCGATTGAAAGCATTCGCTTACGATGTTTGCACGGTGAGGACGGGCGTTGTCATCCATAAACACAAATTGTGCAACCATGGCGCCCCGAAACAAACGTACATGTTGTTCCAGAATGATGTCCCGATAGATTTGGCTTGTCATTGTTCCAATTTGAACATGCAGGTCAGTTCTGGAACCCAAAATAATTCCACTCCAAACGAGCACTCCTGCACCACCGTAACGGTGTCGTTTAGTGATGTTTTCTTGGTGGTAACGGGTACCTGGAGATCTCCACATGAAAGTCCGTCGAGAATCAGACTGCAAGCTAAACCTGGACTCGTCGAAAAACATCACACAAGCCCACTGTTGGGGTGTCCACAATGCATGCTCCTTACTTCAGGCTAACCGCAGGCGACAGTGAGTTGCAGTAAGTGGAACGCATCTGACAGGTCTATGAGCATATAGACCAATCTGCCCTAAGCGTCTGTACACGGTCTGCCTTGAAATTGTCCTACCAGTAGCTGAAGAGAGCTGACGAGACAGGTCTGAGGCTGTGCTCCGCCTGTTTCGTTTGGCAGTAACTGCCAAATACCGGTTCTCATTCGGCGTTGTAACTCTGGGGCGACCTGTGCTGTAACGTCTACTCACATTACCATCATCTTGGAATCGTTGCCAAAGCCTGGAGATGGCACTCTGGGAAATTCCAAGTTCGTCTGATACTTCCAATTGGGTACCCCCACATTGCAGACGGCTGATAATTCTACCACGTAAAAAATCATCCTAATGCGTCCTTTGTGTCAAAACTATTTGGTTATTGCCCTGAAATGCTTATAAAGCGCCTTGCGAACAATTTTACTTCTTTGCCTGTATTCCTTATATATCACTCTCTTACACTCTCGTCATTGTGACGTACCATCGGTGTCATCTGGTTACTTCCTGAAATTTGCATATGATTCTTGAAGATGTGTGTAGTGATTTTACAGGTGATATATTTATTTTAGAGTTCGATTTCCGCGTGACTCCGAATTATCCTTAATTTATGGACATGAGTGTAGTACAGGGGTGGTCAAACTTCATGTCAGTATAGTTCGACCGTCTCAAACGCAACCCTGGTTGGCATTCTGCCAAAACACAGAGATTCGTCCGAAAAGAGATTATTATTATATTACTTGCTGCGACGTGAAAGGTCTTCTCTTCTCCGGAAAGAGCTATGCTGGAGGGAAAGAAATTCCCCATCCTTCCACCCTATTTTGAGAATAATTCGGTCCGAATGGCGCATGCGTGTTTGCGCTCATGGTGGTGGATGAGGCGGTCGAACTATAACAGCCGCGTATTGGAATTCAAGAAAGCTGGAAAACCATAACTTGATTTTCCAAAAGCCTCAAGTCTGTACTTACATTATTTTAAAAACAGCGAATCGTTCCAAATGAAAAGAAGTCACATCATTCACTGACAGTTTGCTTTCAGCAGGTGATGATGCGTCGAAGACAACACGAAGTTTTGCACGGGAAATGCACGAAAATGCATTCTTTCGGAAATGCTTCCGTTGATGAAACTTTTCTGCAATCCAGTATCTATTAACACACGCATTCAGTAAAGAGATTGTTTAGCGTTGTTTTTAATATTTGCTTGAACTTTCTATAACATCTTCTTCTTCATCAATAGAATTCATAATAATTTTCGATATATGTTTAAAATCCATTAACACGTTCTTCATCAGGACTTTCAAAACAGTGATGAGAATAGCTGCAATTCATTCCAGTTTGTCCACAGCAGATGGTGTAGATTACTAGGAGCGTGGCTCAATAGTATTTTTTTTTTTTTTTTTTTTTTCCGTGAGAACATTTTTAAGTTCTTTTTAAATAAAAAAGAAAAAGGAAGATTCCGATTTAAAGGAAGTAATTGTGCTATCTGGAAAATACAAAGATGAAGAGCAGAACGGAAGATTTAAAGCGGAGTGGAAAGAAGAATTTGTTTTTGTGGAGAAAAACAGGAAACAATGTGTCTTTTATGTAAATTGTAAGCACTATCACAGTTCAAGGGCAGTATTCGTAAACGATGTCATGAACCAAATCACTGTTCTTTTAGGCAACAATTCTTTCCTGGTTGTGAGTTAAGACGAACTAAAATAGTGCCTTTAAAAGTAAAATTAAATAACAAACCAAAGTTATGTCAATGCTTATTAAAGAGACAGATGTAATAACGGAGGCCGGATTTATTATAGCCTTCAACACTGCTCTGGCAAAACGTCCTCACACGGAAGGACAACTGATAAAAAGAAATATTTCGGAAGCAATTTCTTAAAGCAGAAAGTACCAAAAAAAGAAAAATCCAGAAAATAAAAAAATTGCTCAAATTAATTGAACAAATACTTCTAAACATACTATGGAAAGGCGAATTTCTGTTCTTTCGGATGAAGTCACAAGCAACTTAAAGATTAAAAGGATTTGAATCACTGCTCAACACAAATAATCTAGAAGTAAAAGAACTATTGAACTTCATTGCACTAAAGGATACAAGAGGAGCAGATATAAAAAATGCTCTTGATGCTGCGCTTGAAAAACATTCTGTACCGATTAAAAAGCAAGTCAGCGTCGCAACTGACGGCAATCCAGCTATGACAGATTCTACTGAAGAGCTTTCGGCAATTTTAAATACCGACGCATTCTAACCCAGTTTTGTCTCTGTCCATCGCGTTTTTCCTAGGAGCTAATTATTTTAAATACGCCCACATATTGATAATGCACTCAAACCTGTTTTTGTGCGGTCTTTTCTTTTTTTTTTTCTTTTCTTTTTTTTTTTTTTAATTATTTGTGCGATCTTTTTTGTACGGTATATGAAAATTTCAACCAAAATTATACGATTATATGACGACATATAAAATCTATGCAGGACTCCAACTTCGCCATAAATTAGAATGTCATTTTCTTGCAATCGATGCCAATTATGAAAGAACTTCAAAATTCAAAAGGAGCTATAATCTTGTACATTTGGCTACCGAGACATACACAAGCGTCTAGTGAAACAACAGTCGTCGCAGAAACTGATCACCGATTAACTGAAAAAAAGATAACTGATTAAGGTAACTGAAAAAAAGTCAACTCTAAACGAGTGCGTAGTACCTTGAAGCGACGAACGGGATTTTGAACCAGTTTACCACAAAAAAGTTCGCGTATTGTCAGACTGCGAAGGGTAATGGTTATGCTTTTTGAAAAGCTTTGTATATGTAAAATAAATATATATGTAAATAAAATATTTAAAAATGTTCGCATGTGTGTTTTCTAAAATGTTTGGCGAGATTCCAAGTAGCTGTCAAGCCTCGTGTCTTGATTTCGTTTAAAAAAGCAATTCCTAGTTATTTCGTAAGGTTTTGAGTTATTTTCTACATGAAACTTTTTTATGCGGTTCGTATTCGCCGCATAATAATTGTGATGCGTAAACTATTTTTCACAACTATTCGTGAAGTTTTACGCGAATTTTTTTTTATGCGTTTTCTTTTTTGTGCTTCACAAAAACAGGTTTGAGTGTATATTTAAAAATTGTTAAGTACATTCACTCAACACCAAAACTTATCGATAGCCTGCATACAAGAATAGAAAACTATAAACTTCCAGATGATACGATGATACGTCGTGGTTTTATTTAGTAAGGTGGCTTTCAATAGTCAGTGTGCTAAGAAAATTCTTTGATCTGCTGAAGCCAATCAAAAAATTTGTCCCTGAAAAAGTGAAATCTTACTTGAAGATGCCAACTGATTCATAGATATGGCGTGTTTCAAAGGAGACACTTAAATTGGTAACCGCAAGGTGTTGGCTAACTTATTTCTGATTTAGCACAGAGTTTCTTCAGCTTCCATAACAAAATTAAACTCTTCGAGAAAGATATGGTTTCTGAAATCCGCACTCACTTCCCCTGTCTTACTAAAAAGTTGGAAACTTTACCCAGGTATGAAATTATAGCTACAGATTATACATGTAAGCTGCAAAGACTGGCAGAATATACTATTAATAGATTTAGTGATTAAAAAGCACTGAAGCCAGAATTTATATTTTTAGAAAACTCTTTTCTTGTTGGCATTTTGAAAAATAGCTCTCCCTCTCACAGCCAACTTCTGGGGATATTTTGGCTCCCGAGTTGGAGTTAGTGGAGATTCAAGAAGATGAAGGATTGAAACAGGTAAAACAAAACGGTGGTTCAGCAACAAAACAAATGGTGAGTTTTAAAAACAGCTTTTGAAGCAAAACTATCCTAAAACCAAAGAACATCGGCTAAGATTAATCTCAGCTTGCGGTACTTCATGTTATTGTGAATCTTTGTATTCGACACTTAAATTTATTTAAAATAAGCATCGGTCTATTTTAACAAATCAGCATTTAACTGAGCTTGTTCCGGCAGCTAACTGCTAAGATGGATAACATTAGTAAAGCATCCACAAGCAAATCTAACTTTTAACGATTTTCTTTATAAAATTGTTTGATAGAATCAGTATTTTTTTATATGTTTGAATAACGTTATAGCATTTGTTATCTAACAAGAAAAGTAATCAAATATAGACGTTGATCAATTTAAGTTTACTAATAACTTTGTAAAAAGAAATTCAAATAAATTAATGACTTTCTTTTGGAAATTGAGTAGCTTTAGTTTACCATATTTTATGCACATATTTTATCTGCATAAGAGGCGCACAACTCGCCTTCGAAAGCCGTTTATGGCCACCCTTGTTATACTATGACATGGTTGCAGTATAAAGGATTTTTTTGCAGACATAACATTGAAACTCCTTGCTTCCTAATCTCATTTTAAAAAGAGCAGTTTTTTTATTTTTCTTTAGCATATTATTATTTTGTCTAATTATTTATATATATTTTTTTACTTCTAAACTATATCACAAAGATATTATTTCAAAATATTTCAAGCGTTTTTTGAAAAAATAAACTCAATGCTCAGTATCATTTTTTATTTATTACATTAGTAAATTACAAAAGTAAAGCACATATATCCTAATTCTTAACAAGCCATATATGTTTTATTTTGCAGGTTTATGAGTGCATGGTGGAAGAGAAACAAAAGATTCAGGTAAGTTGAAACCTCAGTATTTCAAATACTAGTTTCGTAATTACTATTGCTCTTCAAAGTATTTAAAAACACAATTTTATCCGATCACTTTAGTTTAATATATGAAAAGTATTATAAGCTAGTATCTTTTTATTGTGAAACATATGAATTATTCCAATCCATACACAATGTTCCATCAAGACTACATTAAATCCGGCGAACGAAATTGTTTGTTTGGAGAACTTAAAAAAAAATCAAAGAACCTGAATCTACACCAATAGTTTTCTAGAAAAAAATGAGAAAGAGCCTAATGCGTTTCATCTAATGCCTTTCATATTCATATCCGAAAGTAATATTAAACATTGATACGTAGATATAACCTTAGATTTACACAAAACATTGCTCAAAATTGCAACTGCACATATCGAGGCGTGCTTGAGCTTGTTGTTGAATGGCTGACTAAACATGATCCACGAAGTGAATGCAGCATAAGGATGATGAGTAGCTAAATGTTCTTTCGTAAGTGAACTTCGATACACTAGATGGCTTTTCAGTCTTCAGCTGGAGACAGAAAAAAAAACCCAAAAGTACCAGGCCTGTTGATCGTGGTTAACACAACTGGATAAACCATATTCTCTCAAAAACGTAGAGGATATCTGAGGTATGCATATGCGGGGCCTTCCCATACTAAAACAATACGCCATTTAATACCATCACGAAAATCAGTTAGGATATCAAGGAGAAATACGAAATATGAATTTTCGATGAGCCGATGATGCAGCGCACATGAATCCGATAGCGTAATTACTCAATATGCCGGTCTAAATATTTATAGACAGGTCAGCTTGATGCTTCTGCAGGCAAACTGCATGTAGACTGGACTGTATTCCTGCATGGCTTTATAATTATTGAAGATCTCATCATTGGAAATATGCTTCTTCTGTCTACAGGGTCTACATTATTGGCTTCATGATGATATAACAGCCATTCTTAAAAGTTCATGTGTCATTGAAAGTCATCTGGATGAGGACTTTAATGGTAAGCAATGAAACGTGTACAGCTTCATTGCCCATAATATTCCGTGCAGAGTATTTCTACCCTTACTCCTTGCCTAATGCATATGGGCTCATGTCTAGATTCATTTAAATCCGTCAATAATACAGCTTCTATGAGACTGTTATGCGTTCTGCCACCCATGTTGCAAATTTCCGCTGGGAGAATTCTTCTAGGAATTTTTCTGTTTGAAATCCCCGCCTGCTGATCACATTGACATCGAGATATTGGTGTGATGGATATCAATGGGCCCATTTCGTTGCCATTTTTAAAGCATTTTCATTACATTGAACAAAAATAAATTATATTTTACAATACTCACGATTGGAATACATTATTATCATGCTAATATTTGCTGTTTCTGTGGGTAGCCTTTCCATGCGAGCCAAAGGACGTCCGTATATTTACATAAAAGACACACCGGCAAGTTTTATTACGTAGTTTTTTTTTCCTTTCGCCAGGACAATGATGGGTAAAACATGCATTTATTTTATTCTCATTCATTGGGCAATTTTCTCATGTTCCAATAAATATAATTTTCAGATATAAAGTCGTGCTTTCGCATTTTCCTCGAAAATTGTGGATTGTAGATTTATAGTTCTTGGGTCATACTTTATGTATTCCAAAAGGAGAAACTACCCTTGCAGAGGTTATGCAATTTTAATAGTATTGCCTGCAAATGCTTATTATCTTGAAAATTGTAAATGATAAACATGGCTAAACTGTGGCTCACTTTTTAAGAAAAAGTAAGTATGTTTTAAAGCATAGCTTGAAACAGATAATTTGTTATCAGACTCGTTTTTTCTAGCCATTAATTTAATATTTTAATTGTATTATGTGTTTAAATCACGTTACTGTATTACATGTGTAAACCAATTTCAAACTTTTTGTGCTAATCATCAGGTTAAGAAACAAAAGGCAAAGCATTTGATTTTTGCCGCTTGCTGCCTTAGAACCTTTTCGTTTCTAGTTTGCAAACAGCAGGGGAAAAAATGCATTAACAACAAAGGGGCTTTTTTATTAATTCTGGTTAAGTGAAGTCCGATGAATAGTAGTTGTGTGGTAGTTCAATGCAAACGTTATCCCGTACCCAGTCCAATAAGATTAATCTTCATGACACAGAAATATACAAATTTTTGCCCCTCTTTTTTCGACAAGCATAGGAAGAAATGCAAAGAGCCTATGCATTACGAGACTATTTTCATATATAAAACTTTTGAGAGAGGTGAAAAGAAGATTTCTATATAGTATTAGTTTCGAATCAGCAACTATCTAACTTTATTAATATATTACTTTTTAAGAAGTTTTAACCTCTAATAGTCTTTTTCTATCCATATCAGATAACCGAAGAAGAGAAAGAAGGGATGAAGAATTTCATAGTAAGTAGATACCACTTACTTCATTAGACAAATACTTGTTTCTTCCCTGTACGTTCTTCGAGCAAATTTTTTTTTTATTCTTTATTTGACAGAGTTTTCAGAAAGTATAGAAAATATTTGAAATGAAGTTAAAACTTTTAACTTAGCTTCCTTCAGACGTTTGCTTTCTGTATCTGCGAGCCCTATAGAACAAGACTAATTACTTTGGCAAAATGTTAACATAAGTCTCATGGTTTAACAGAATTCTTTATACCTAGTGCTAGTAGAAGGTTGAGTTCAGAAAATCGTAATATTATAAGATCCAATTTAGCTTAAAGTTATTGCTTTGTGGCCAAACGTATATTTTCATGAATGATGAGAAGATTAGTAATTTAATATGGCACGGATTTTAGTGTATTTGTTTAAATTTTATTAACATCAGTTTTTTTTTTTTCGATTATCAAATGAATTCATGAATTTTCCGTGCTTTCCTCATTATTTTATAATTTTCATCGTAACTATTGAATTGTTCTAAATAGTTACATTACATGTGCTAATTAATTACATAAAAATAGTTAAATTGAATTAAAGCGAAATTTCTAAAGCAAAGTGCCTTTTACTCTAAGAGGCAAACCGGAACTCTGAACTTTTAACAACAAAACTTAAACCTGAACTATTAAACGATGAACTTACTACGAAAAGAAAAAAAAAAAAAAGTCTCCGCTTTAAAATTTAAAGTTTCGCTTTTCTTGAGGAGTCTTTAAAGCATATACTATATCTAATCTTATCAGATGACGAAGATTAATTTGTTTTTGGCCGTATTCCTAGATCCAAAAATAATACGTGAATGTCCGTCAGGTAAAATGAAGAATTTTATGTTGTGGAATGCAAAAAAAAAGGATGCTTTCTTAAATTCCATGATGTCTCTACTGTTCAAATTTTTTCTAGAAAAATAATGATACAAAAAAGAGAATTAAAACAATGATTTTAGGAAAATTAAAATCCATTGCATTAACATTTTATAATTATGGAATGTGATAAGAAAAATTTACGTGAAAACATAAAAATTGTGTTAAAATAACGATACAAAAAAAAAAAAAAAAAAAAAAAAAAAAAACGGAATTAGTAAAATGATTTTAGGAAACTTAAAATGCATTTCATTAATATTTTGTAATTATGAAATGCGATAAGAAAAATGTTAGTCGCCCTATTTGGCATGGTGGTAGAGATGCTGACTGTTTTGAGGCATGGCAGCATTTAAGAACTGCCACTGAGCCGAAAATCTCCTCTATAAGTTAGTGGTAGCAAATGTAAGATAGAAACCAGTTGGATACATCCCTCCCCGATAAATTTTTCTTCCATCAAAACTAGGATGTAGGTGGGCAAATTTATTCTGTCAAGTACAAGATACTCAATACTAAAACTAAAGACAATAGCAACACTTTCCCTCTTGGTACGATGAAGAAGTGGAACTGCTTTAGACTATTCAGATGATCAAGAATAGTCACAACAATATAACCACTATCAGTCAGCGACTGAAGCATAAATTAAGAAATTACTTTTGGAATTTTATACGCTTTATAAACACACCCGGTCAGCAAAGTACAAAAGTGAAATTCTTTATATGGCAAATCATTTCCTTTAAAGAGTTTTTAATCTAATATTATTTTCTAAATTAAAATTTATTAATATACCGCTTGTTAAAATATCAATTTTAGTTAAAAGACAAAATTAGAGATTGAAATTTCAGTATTCAAATATTCATATAATAACTACATTATAAGATATTATTTTACATATATTTTTTACAATAAATAAGAAGTTTGACCACGACATTTTAATAACCAGCGCTATCATTTATTTTCTTCACAAACTATAAGCAAATATTTTTAATACAAAAGCGACGATGTCCAAAGAACTCTAACCCAAAAAGAAAACAAGTAAGAAAGAAAATATAAATTACTTTAGACATAAAAACTAGAAACTTATAGAAGCTTAAAACTACTAGTTTTTGATACCTCAGTTCTGTCTGAATATCCAGTAGCAAAATACAGACCATCATTTCACTTTAAATTAAAAAATAAATATTTGTAGATCCATCATCGACTGCACATATTATCCAGTTATAACGACTGACTGGTGACAAAAAAAAAAACAAAAAAAAAAAAAAAGCTGTAAGAGAATGAACTGTGGTTGACCTGACTCACGCATCTGCTTTCTGGTCTCCAATTTGGGGAATAACGTTCCCTCATTTTCTTCTCATCTGTATGATCAAGAGCATGGAGGCAAGAAGAAAACTTCCATGGTTGAGAGGCACCAATTCCCTCGCACGTTCAAATGTGAGCGTATGATTTTTGACTCCTCAGAAACTTAACTTCTTATAGTTTAGTCCAGAAACATTACTAATATAAACACTGGATTAGCGCATATTTTGTACATTATATACGAAAATAAAGTGAATAAAAGAGAAGTTGTTCAGAAAATCATAAAGAAAATGAAACAGATTTAAAATATTGAAATAATATATTTATCGACATATAATTTATATTTTCGCTTGCAAAGTAAATCATATCCTCTAATGCCGTCATTCTACCTGAGACAAAACGATATAAATGTTATAAATATTACTACCCTTAAAATTAAAGTGAGAAGTTTTTATAATAATAATAATTTAATACATATATTTTCTTATTTAAAGTAGCCGATATTTCTAAGTTAGATTTTCTTTAATTGTTTCTGATATTTCTAAGCTATCGGACTCAGTATAGAGGTTTTGGAACTGTTTCAAGTTTCCAGGGTTTCCTAAAACATTTATTGAGGGGAAGAGGAGGAAAGGATTTTAAACGTTCGTAGATAAGTATATCTGCAGATGATACATATTGAGTATTGTGCATAGATGTGGAGTTACACTAAACTTCTTTTTCTTTCCTTTCTTTTCAGAGCTGCGCCAAAGATATCTACAAAGCACACTGCAAAGAATAACATTTTATAACAACCGTACAGCTTGCTTTCCAAGAGATTATATCTCAATTATAATTTAGAATAATGTAGAAGATGTAATCAATTTTATAACTCTTGCTTAAATAACTGATGCTGACAGAATTTTATAACTGATGCTTAAATAAAGACTTGAGTCTTCCATTGTTTGCCTTTTTTTCAATTATTATTCATAATGCCACCTGAGTCTAAAATGTTGGCAAAATATAGCCGAAAACGCACAACTGTTTGGATTTGTTCATAAGTACTTAAACGGAACTTACCAATCAAGTTTGAATTACTCTTTGTTTTCATAAGTTTGCACTCATTAGGATGATATTCAGACCATTAAAAAAAAAAAATACTTTAGGTACATATATACACCAAAACAGATACAGATCTCATGATCGGATAAAAGAGGTCATGAAGCTAATACTTAATAACATATTGATTCATAACTTAAAAATTGCATTTAATTAAAAAATAAATTTAAGAAGGCAGTTTTTTTTAAAAAAAGTGCCAATATTTATTAAAATATAGATGAAATGTAATAAATGAAGCACCTATTTAAATGCCTTTTTGATCTTAAATTTGATTTTCTCAGTATAGTTTAATGGGAAAAAAATGAGAGTTTTAGAATTAGAGGAAGAGCAAGGATGATTATATCAAAAGTTAATTTAGATAATCACAGAACATGGAATACAAAATGCTGTCCAGAATATTGAGAATGGGGCATTCTGAGTAGCAGCAAAATGATATTAGTGATACAGGTCCACTTAAATCATAGAGATCGTGTATATTTTTTTAACGAGCACTTTAACAGTCCATCAATAAAACAAATATTTCTAAAATTTTCAGTTAATTTTTTTTTTTTTTTTTTTTTTTTTTTTTTTAAACAGGATTCACAAAATTTGAATGACAATTAGTTTTCCTTCTTGAATCTTTTTCAAGATTTTGGAATTTGAACATCCCATTACTAGTAAATATTATTATTACACAGCTTATATTCCCTACAACTAAATTCTATTTTGACACAATTCCTACCAAATTCTGACACATACATACTGAGGTTTGAAATAGTATATTTATACCCAACAGAACTCTTAAGTTTTGATAGACCGACATTCTATATTAAATTTTAAATGATTTTGATATAAAATATTGAAAAATTTCTACTAATGTCGCTCGGCCTACCAGCAGCCGAGTGGTAAAGTCGCTGAACAGCGCTAGTTTGGTCAGGAATTAGAAGTCTCGGTGAACGGGTTGGCTGCATGGGCATTTTCGTGGTTTTCCCAAGTGTAACGTGTATACAAGTTAGTTTCCGAAGTCGATCACGAAAGCATCCCTCCCATTAAGTAGATAACTCTTGTGTGCTTTGCCATAATTAAATAAACCAAACGATCTACTAATATTGAAGCGGATATGTTAAATAGAAATCCTATTTGTCAAAACGTGTGTATACAATCAAATTTAATAGCATTAAATGAAATAGAAAATTATCAAATATTGGGTAATATTTCTAACCTTGAGTTTAAGAAAATTAATAATGTGTTAACTTACAAAAGCAAAGATTGTATAAAATTGTGATACGAATATATTTTCGCACTAAATTGCTTAAAAAACTCATATTGAATACGGTTACATTCCTGTACCTTCCATGCTAAATTTGTGATCTCCTCAATATTATTGAGCAAGAATAATACAAGATATTAGAAATTACTGTAAACATAATGAAATGTGTCAATATAATAAAAAAATTTATGAGAAATTTGGAAAAAAAAAGGAATTTAATAAAATTTGGTTTAACGCAAGCACTACCATCTTTCAGTGAATCTTTTGAACTGTATTCTGTTGATACTGTTGGTGGTGGTTTAAATTATTATAATTCTATTAAAAAGTATATTCACATTAGTATAGTTATAGCCCATGCTACTTGTTATGTATGGATATTTGCTTCTAAAAGTGTAACAACTGATAGTTTAAGGCAAAAATTTCAGATTCCAGTCCCAAAGAAAATTTTAAGTGATATAAATACTGCTTTTACTTCCTCAAAATTTAACCTTTTTTTTAGAAACTATAATGTCACACAATTATTAACTGCTGCTTATAGACTACAAACTAACGGTAATGTAGAAAGAGTTAATCAAACTATTGCAACTAAATTAAAATATAAATTAAATTCTTATCAAGTCAATATTTCATGAACAAAATTGTTACCTTAGGTTACAATTATACACCGCATTCTGTAACAAAATTCCCACCATCTTATTTAATGTACAGAAAATTACCATACGGTCCATTAATCAAAAAACAAAATCTCTACCCACCATTTGAAGAAGCTAAGAAAATTCTTTATAAAAGTTCTGATGCTTCTCATAATGTAAACAACGATATGAGACCCATTTTAATGCAAGCAATTTTAAACCTGATGATTTAGTAATGTATGAGGAATTTCAGTATCCTAAAGTCAGAAAACTCTCTCCTCTTTTTCGAGCCCTTTTATAATTTTAAAACAATACATTGAAGTTACTTCTGAAATAGATAAATCAAATTCTCCTACGGAAAAGAATTCAGAAATTTTACTTGATCTTTTAACCCAGACAATGAATTTAAATTAACTGTTAGAAACAGTAAAATATGCGTTGCTATTAAAAATTATTAAAATATTTTTTTTTTTTCCAAATTATTTATTAAAATTTCTTCAAATTTCTTTCAAAATTTCTTCCTTTTATTAAAATTTCTTCAAATCTTTAAAAATATTTGTTATCCGGATATGACTTTTTAACCCGGTAAAGTCTAACTGTGAAAAATTACACACGAATTTGATTTTTTTATCAATTTGGCTCCTTTTCTATTTACCCCTTTCCTTTTTCCCAGAGTATTTTTGCTCAAAATTAATTATATACTTCCCCCAAAGCCTCAAGACGAAGATAGGAAAAACTCTGAACCTTGTTGTGTTATTTACTCCTTGCAACATCTCTTTAGGGAGGATACAAACAATAATAATAAAATGCTTGTTTTCCCCTATATCTATATTAGGTGTACTACTATTAAGTATACTATTTATGTTTTCCCCCCTTAGTCATAATATGGATATTTAATTTTTTTAGGAGAATCATCTATGGCTATGAACTGTCTGAGTGTCCCATTCTTTCAGCAATAGTTTTAGGACAAAGTGTTCATTGTTAACAGATTGCTTACAAGGTATCGACATGCATAAGATAACCAACCTCAAAGGACCACAGTTCCCAGGGGCGTAGCTAGAGGGGGGCAAGGGGGGGCATCTGTCCCCGGGCGCAGAATCCAAGGGGCGCCAAACTGATGTTACGACATTTTAGAATTAAATGTTTTCCATCTTAGACAAGCAGTAGGGGGCGCAGTCCCTGGGCTTCAGTTGTCCCTGGGCGCTGAAAACCCTAGCTACAACTCTGGCAGTTCCATATACACTGAAAAGCCGAAACATTATGACCACCTACTCAATAACGCGTTGCGCGACCTTTGGCCTGCAAAGCAGCTGCAAATCGCCTTGGTATGGATGGCACAAGTTCTTCGTAGATGGGTGGAGGCAGATTGTACCAAATGTCTACGCAGCGATCCCGCAAAGTCAAGATATTCTGACATGATGGTGTTTCAGCTCCGAGCTGCCGTTCTATGACATCCCAAATGTGCTCTATCAGGTAAAGATCCGGCGAGTTAGGTAGATTAAGGACATTATCAGGACATTAACCGGAATCCATCTTAATGATCCTCGAACCACTCCAACACAGTTCGAGCCTTGTGATATGGAAGATTCTGTTTCCCGTTGGGAAAGAAGACCCCATGTAATCATGCAATTGATCACAATCATGTCCAAATAATCCGCAGCTTTCATGGTTTGTTTTAGCACAACTAAGTCGTCCATGAGAATGTCTCCAAAAGCATAATCCCGCCACTACCAGCCTGTGTATGACCTGCTGTACAGGTGCTCTTTATTTCATAAATTATGGTTTCATATTTTTAATTGTATAATTTCTGCATGCCATCTTACCAGATTTAAATTGATGATCTATAATCCGGAAAAACCCCTAATCTGGAATCACCGAAGTCCTGACGAGTCCGGATTAAAGACTACTGTATTAGAAATTCGTAACAAAAAGATATTTGTTAAACAGTAAATGTATACAAAGTCAGTTTATATAATATTCTAATATACAGTGGTGGCCAAAATTGTGGACACTTTTAGAAATTTTTATGTTTTTGAACTTTGTATGCTTATAGAAAATGTTACGTTTCGCAAAATGCAAACTTGTTTATATCATTTTAAAGAGAATTTATTACTGAATTCAATACAAAACACAAAATTCAATTATTTGCAATACAAAAAAAAAAAGTTATATGTACTTTAATATAAATAAAAAAACACAGTTATGAAGTGGTTTGTAATGTTTATCTTTCCTGGCCAATCACTTTTCTTGTCTGAGAACCAATGAAATGTTAGTAACTGCCGAAGCTGACATCATGTTTACACTTGAAACAATTCATTATTTTGCTTTGTTCTGTAGAAGGAGGACCTTTTTCTTATACACAGCAATTACAAGTAGGAATTTTTGTAAAAATTTTTAATATTTAGTTAAGAAGCAATGACATCAAATAAAAGAGTAGATTGGACACCTAGAAAGAGATGTAATATTATTGCGTTACGAGAAAGTGGTCTTTCCTATGCTGAAATTGCAAAACGGGTGGGTGGTTCAGTGACTACATCTGGAGTCCGAAAGTTTTGTTTACAATATCAGGAGACAAATTCAATAAAAAACAAAGAAGGAAGTCGAAAAAGGTGCACCACATCTATTGATGACAGAAGAATAAAAAGACTATGTCTCCAAGATAGAAAAATGTCATCAACGGCCATCAGAAGTGATCTGAATGATGCTGGTGTTTCTGTCAGTTCAAGAACAATCAGGAGAAGATTAACAGATGTTTGACTGAGAGGTAGAACTCCACAAAAAAAGCCTTATCTTAATTTTCAGCAACGAAAAAAAAAAAAAAAAAAGACTACAGTGGGCAAAGGAACACATTAATTGGACAGATGATCAGTGGTCACAAGTTATATGGAGTGATGAAACTAAGATATCGGTATTTGGTAGTGATGGGCGAAAATATGTAAGACGTAGAATAGGAGAAGAGCTACATCCTGAGTGCATTCAAGCAACTGTGAAGAACCCAGTTAATGTTATGATTTGGTCATGCATGTCAGCAGATGGTATTAGTCGCCTTCATGTCATCGATAGGACACTGAATGCCCGAAAATACATTGACACTATTCTAGAACCAAAACTTCTACCTTCCATCAGAGATCTCTTTCCCAACAATGCTTCGTTTATTTTTCAGCAGGATTCTGCTCCTTGCCACACGACCAAAATATCAAAAGAGTGGTTTCGTACAAAGAGCATTAAATTGCTGTCATGGCCAGGAAACAGTCCTGACCTCAATCCTATCGAAAATTTGTGGCACCGTTTGAAAACTCTTGTCTGAATGAGGCACCCATCAAATAAAAGGGAACTAATTCTTTCCTGGCATCATGTAATAATGAAAGAAGAGCTGAAAACTCTTGTCAGCTCAATCAAACATTGATGTGAAGCTGTAATCAAAAATAAAGGGTACACTACTAAGTACTGATAACTCACTGCAATCATCACTATCTAATGTATATCGATAACTATTATCATTTAACTTTTTTTGTATTGCAAATAATTGAATTTTGTGTTTTGTATTGAATTCAGTAATAAATTCTCTTTAAAATGATATATACAAGTTTGCATTTTGTGAAACGAAACGTTTTCTATAAGCATACAAAGTTCAAAAACATAAAAATTTCCAAAAGTGTCCACAATTTTGGCCACCACTGTATGTTAAGAACTTTATGCAGATATGTACAAAAGAAGAGTGATTGATTTTATTTTATATACTATATCAAGATATTCGACTTAAACTTTCCTCAAACTTAAGGTCGTATATTTTCCCGTACAAACTTCATTAACTCTGGAACTGCCTTTTAAGAAGTGTGTTCTTAAATATGAATAGCATAAAGAGATTTTACATTAAAAAAATATAAATTAAAAATTATAATATGCGTAAAAACAGCATACTAATTTGAGATTTAAATTCAGCAAAATTTAATCTTAAAACCGAGGTAGTCGTAAAGTTCTTCTTTGAATGACTTCTAAAAATCAGCAGTTTTAAAATTTTAAATTATAATCTTACATTCTGAAGAAGAGTTGAATATTACAAATTAAAGTGAAAATATCAAAAATGTAATATTCATAAAAATTTGAAATATAATCTTCATATTTACATTCCAGTTTAGGAGCTGAAACAATTTTGAAAAGCCTTCTAATTTAAGAATTAATTTCCAAAAGTTCAACATACAGAATATAAAACCATACATGTTCAGGTTGCAAAATGTTTAAACTGTTAGTTTTTATTCCATTCATATAAAATGAAACAAATGAAGACGAGATGCTGTTTTCTACACAGTTTACTACTACTTCAAAACAATTCTTGTAATGACAGAAATCTCCGAATTCTTTTACAAATATAAACTCTCACGGCAAAAGCTGATAGATGTATGCACGGATGGCATTCCATCAATGCTTAGGTTTCGCTTTTGATTCATACAGATGGTCAGAGAAAAAAATCCCAAAGTTACAGCTATTCACTGTGTTATACACCATCAAGCTTTGGCAGCTAAGATACTTCCAAACAAACTTAACGATGTCTTCAAATTATGCATCAAAACTGTCAATCATGTTAAAAAGAATGCTTTAAGTACTCGACTTTTTATGGCCCTTTGTGAAGATTTGGGAACAGAACATAAAATACTATTAATTCATACGAAAGTGCGCTGGCTCTCAAAACGAAATATGTTAGCAAGATTATTTGAACTTCCGAGATGAAAATTTTTGGAAATTCAAAATGAAACCTAATTCTATGTGCAATTCTGAAAGCCAAGTGCTCAAGATGTATTGACTTATCTATCGGATATTTTTAGATTATTTTAACTCATTGAGCTTGAAATTGCAAGGTGAAGATAGAAAGAAAATTTGTTACCGGGATGCCAAATCACAACATATACTGATAAGTTGCAACTGTGGGAACCTAAAATTTAAGCCTGCAATTATTCCTGCTTTCCGAAATTATCAAGAATCCTGGAAGGAAAGCGCTTTAAGGAATTTTTTAAGTACAAGGATACTAAAAATATCAAAATTTGCAGCAGCTCACTGATGAAGTCAAACTTACTTCCCTAACTCGTTTGATAAAAATATTTATAGAATGGCAACGGATTCTTTTCACGTTGACATATATGCACTACCAGAAACATTACAAGAGCAAGCTTTAGAAATTAAAACTGATTCTGCAGTCACATATGATTTTATGAGAAGATGGATAAGCCATTGTTTTTGGGTAAAATACCATATATGCTTGTGTAGTGTCCGCACCCCAAATTTACAGATAAAATTTATGTGAAAAAAAGTTACCTGCACAATGTCCGCAACCCAAAAACTAAAGAATTTACTTTAATTTTTTACATCACCTTTTCCTTTTTAAAGAATTTACTTTAATTTTTTACATCACCTTTTCCTTTTAGTCAATAACATCAGTCAATAAACATCTTTAAAGGAAGAATATGCATTTGTTTTGTCTTTGGTTGGTGTCAGGATAGAAAGCAGAGACTTTCCTTGCATTCTGGTGCAGCTGTTATTCATTCATAACATTGGCGCCAGTAATCCATTCGGCAGACATGATAATAAATGAAGGCAGTTCAAACAGGTTTTCACCACACTAGCTTCCAGAAAATACTGTTTTGTAATGAAATTACATCCTTCCTCCTTAGAGCATTTGCATATTTCAAGCTTTCTTTTTTCATTTATAGTATCATTTGGAATTTGTGGTAGTTAGGAAGTAGCGCACTTGTAATGGGAGAATACAACAGCTATACAGCAGCTTTTAAACTTAAAGTTGTAGAATTTGTGGAGTAAAATGGAAAAAGAGCAGCAGCAAGAGTATATAAGGTGGACAAAAAGTGTGTGAGCAATTGGAGCAAACAGCGTGATCAACTGGAGGCAACAAATAAAACAAGACATGCATTAATAATTTGTGACAGTACCTAACTGTGAAATTGTTCATTTGGAAGAAAAAAAATATTTAGTTTCCTCAATTTTTGTGATGAATTATTTAGCACCAAAAATTCTCCTTCACAACACCAGGCATTTTTTTTTTTTTTTTTTTTTTTTTTTTTTTTTGTTTCCCCTTTTAGTTAGAGGCACAGAAAGGATAAACATAATCTTTTAATATTATTTTTCTTAGCATTTGTGTATTTACAGATATGTTCTGATGCTAGTACAAAATGCTAGTGATCAGTGTGCAAAATCATGACAAGTAAGTAAATAATATTTAAACTGTGAATGGTTAATTATTTTTGAAAATCAAAATACTAAAGATTCAATTCTTAAAGATACAATTAGAAGTTTTTTTGGAAAATTATTTATCACTTTCATTTAAGAGTTATTTCAAAATAAAGTACGAAAGAAAATAAATCACTGCTAGAAAAATATTTATTTATTTCAACAACACATACTTTTTAAGAGTTCGCATACATTGAAATATTTTTGCTCCAAAATGCATTTAAGAATTTTTTTGTGGTATCTTTATGGTTACCTAGGGGAAAAAATTATTACTCTTAGCAAACTTTAAATTTGATCAGCTAAATCTGAATATTGCATGCAAATCTAAAAGTAACTACTGTTCTTTTTTTATAGAACACATATTTTACAGAACTAAAAGAATCATATGAAACATGCATTAAAAAAATGTTCAGTTTATCCATTAAAATAATATAGTCAAAAACTCAATTAAAATATTTTAGTATAGAAATTAAAATTAGGCAGATTATCATACATTGTTACCCATTTGTTTCCAGGTGTGCAAGTAATCAGTATATAGTCAAGAAAACAATAACAATTCAGTGGAATTATTTTAGAATGCATAATTATTTTCTCTGCAAATGGCACTTCTTAAAATAATATAAAAGAAGTTCTTAATTTCAACACAGAATTCTCATTATAAAAAACTTTAAAGAAAGCAATAACCATTATTTTACAGCCAGAATTTGCACATCAGTGACAGTTATAGTGCATTGAAAAAGTAATTTAAGTTTTTTATTGTTTAATTCCATGAACAATTATGTTTTTTATAACTTTTCATACAATGTTAGACAATATTTTCACATATTTTGTACTATTGTGTTAATACAGTACAAAGTCTGTAATCTGAACGTACATTATCCGGAATGATCTATAATCCGGACCTCAAAGGCACAAAATTTTTTTTTGTATACTTTACGCATGCGCGTTTAATGTTATGCATGTGCATTTAATGTTCACACATGCGCATTTAGCACAAAAAATGAAGCAACTTAAACAACTTACATTGAAAGAAATGTTGAACATTACTTCATTGAAATGAAATAAACAAATAAATATTAAGCTTTTTTTTTTCTTTTGTAAATTTTGATACCCTTTAGATCATAATTGCTCTTTATTTCATAAATTATGGTTTCATATTTTTAATTGTATAATTTCTATTTTCTTCTGCATGCCATCTTACCAGATTTAAATTGATAATCTATAATCTGGAAAAACCCTTAATCCAGAATTCTCGAAGTCTTGATAAGTCCGGATTATGGACTTTGTACTGTATAATGTATATTATACTAAATTAGTGAAGAGTGAAGTATTTGAATCATTCTGCTAAATCAACTTTTGGATAACTTTACTTTTGGATTATTAAAATAATAATAATTTATTAAAGTTAATAGCTATAAAAATACTATACTTACAGTCTTAATCTCACAGTACTCATGCAAGGCATCTGTGCCACTAAAAGAAAAAAATTGAAAACAATGAGTAAAAAAAACTATGCTTAGGCAATTATAAAACAATATTTTCTTCCAATGACATAACATAGTGAAATCAAAATATTTCAAATTCAGTATAGCGATTTAAAGTTTGGTTCATGATGGCAACTGTAAAAATAGTAAATTTATGGGAACAACTCCTTATTTTTAATATAATTTATTTATATTTAATACAGGTTTTTTTAAGTATGTAAATTACTTAGTTTTTACAATAAGAAATTTATTATGTCTTTTATAATACTAACAACTAAAACATTTATGCCCTAAGAAAGAAAAATTACAGTTAAAACATAGTTATGAAAGAGTGCTAAAATATTCAAGAAAACCAGAGAAATTTCAATTATTCTGTCCACTTGACACCGAGAACAGAATCTAGGGTAAATTCCTAGCTGTTTGATGCTTTAAGCATTCAGGCAATGGCGAATTCATTACATTTGGATGAAGAAGGAAGAGGTTCCATCATTTTAATCTTAAGGCTTATATATTAGCCTGATTGTTTTTAATGGATTTATGTGGTAAATAATTTACAGCAAACTTAATCCAAAAAGCAAAGCCGGACTGACTATTATAACAGAATTGAGAAAGACTAACAAATTGACCTCTAAACACAAAACAATACCATCATGAGTAACATAAAATGGAACCAAATTGAGAAATTCTGACTTCATAATCAAAACCAAAAAAGTCACAAGAATAATTAAAATCTGTTCCTATCAAGTGCAGTGATCTTCATCACTGACTTCACCTGCAGTGATCCTAAACACTGACTTTAACTGCAATGATCTTAGCAAACATTGCAATTAAATTTCAGCACAGTCTTCAGTGGAATTTTTTTGCAAACATAAGATTTTTTTTCTTAATTTGTAGCTAATATGAAAAATAATACCTGAAAACTAACTAAAATTTTTACATCAAAGAAAAATTATATAGATTAAAAATACAAGAAATGGCATGCACTTCTCTGATTCATCAGAATATTTTCACATGTTAAGATATATCATAGTCACATGTTTTTACTTACAATTCACGACCTTGGCCAGACATTTTGAATCCTCCAAAAGGTGTCTGTACTGAACCAGCGAAGAAGCAGTTGATCCTATTTAACAATAAAATGAAGAATGATCATTTAAGTAGACAATGAAAAAATACCTTTCATTTTTTTATAATTGAAAAGTTGATATTTATTCAGTCCTTTTATTAAAATAAACTTTAATCACTGCATTTTAAATTAAAATTGTAAATTGAATTATCACATCACTAATTTTAATTATATCTTTAGTATGTTCATTTAAAAACTGAATTTTTTAATACATACCAAATTGTGCCAGCTCTAACTGCTTGAGAATATAAGATTGCTTTATTTATGTCCTTTGTTAAAATTCCAGCAGCTAAACCATATTCTGTAGCATTTGATCTTTCAATTGCTTCATCAAGAGTTTTAAACTTCAAAATCTGCATAACGGGTCCAAAGATTTCTTCTTTTGCAATTCTCATGTTATCTTTCACATTTGAAAAAACAGTAGGCTGCACAAAATAACCTTTATTTCCAAGACGAGCACCACCACATTCCAGTTTTGCTCCTTCTTTTTTCCCCGATTCAATTAAATCCAAAATTTTGTTGAATTGTTCATCATCAATCTGTTAATGGTAAAAGTAAAATTTATTCGAACATGCATTTTTAGTGCCTTTACCCATTTTATTGTGTATGCAATTTAAAACTAATTATATATGGACAAACATATATGGAAACAATCATATTTTTTCATTAATTTTTCTATATAACTATGCATTAAACATTCCATAAATCATCAAAACCATAGATGAAATTACTGATGTCCAATGCCTTAAGCTATTCAGCCATCTTCTCGGATAGGTAAATGACATATAACTTAGCACAATGCAACTAATTCAGAATAGCAAAACTAAATAACATATGTAATATTTAAGTTCCTATGATTCACGTTGCAAAAAATTTGATTATAGATACTTATGTATGTATACATACGAGAGACACATACAAGAGAGATCAATAATTGAAAATGTTTAATAATGTCGCCTAAACTCTACACAATTAAAGCAAATAATGCATCTTGCCACATTTTGTAGATTTATGTTCTATTTTATTCTAGTCTCAAAGCAAAATATTAACCTTAATTTGCAATTGTCTCTCTTAACTCTCCATTTTAACGTGGCTATTTCTGCTGTCAGACTCACTTGCTGCCTCATCTATCATTGAATATATTTAAAATTGTACTCAGTGCTGATCTAGTTCTTCAAGAACAAGTGCTTATTGTGTCAGTTTATCTTTGTTGGCTTATAAAAATGATTGGCTAATGAGAAGATAAAAAGAAATGTCAATTTGGACATGACTGCAAGTTTCTTCTTTATGCATCTATCTACCTTCAGTATTCAAAGCATTATGAATTCCCTTGCATATTTTCTCCCTTTTAATGCCAGGTTCTGAAAACTTTTTAAATATTTGTGCAATTTTCCTTTTACTCAATATGTGCAGAGAATGGGCTGCCCTAAATTTCAAAATGGATTTGTCCATGTTGACATTGTTTTCTTTTTACTAACAAAAACCCTCACAAGCAAGGTCACGCCTGTTGAATTCTATGTTAACCTAATACAAGAACTGACCAATCACAAAGAAGCAAACATGAACTGACATTCAGTCTATGATTTTACTGCTGTCTCAAATTATTTATGGATGATTTGAGGTGTAAGGAGTAGTAGAGACAAGAGTAAGAACAGGCGAGATTTAATTTACGAGGAAGTAGAAATGAAAATATCCTTTCAGATAATATAATACCTACTATTCATTTGTTACATTCTTACTGTAACCTTGTCCTTTGGAAATAAAATTATCTGCATAATTTTATCCTCGATTTTTAGATGATAAAAATAGTAAAAAAGGGGGAGAAATATACAAAGAAATATGGTACATAATTTAAACACAAAAATTTATTTTGCAAAATATTCTAATGTTCTTTAAAAGCAATCATACCTGAGGTCCTTGCGTAGTTTTTTCATCAAAAGGATCACCTACAACACGTTTCTGTGCCAGTGCTACACTTTTAGCAACAAAGGCATCATATATGTCTTCATGAACCAAAGTTCGAGAGCCAGCACAACAGCACTCTCCTTGATTGAAGAATAAAGCATCATGAGCTATTTGAACAGCCTCATCCACTGTAATATAATAACAGTAATGTATTACAAATATAAATTCTACTTACATATAATAAAGTATTACCAAAGGAATTACATAAATACAAATCAAAGACAAAAACATAAAAATAAACAGATAATGATTATTTTTTTAATTACTGTCATTTGCAATAATCAGTATTTGGAAATAGATATTATGATTCATTAAATTACTTTTCATCATTTAGAAATTCATTTATTTCAAGAATAAAGCACTTTTAATATACTATTTTGAATCATTTCTCAATTTTCTCTATACTGCTCATATTCATATACAGAATTAGTGCATGATACCATGATATTAATCTTAAATGTATTTTAATAGATGGAAAATATTATATGAAAAAATAAATAACATAAAGCAGAAAGGACCAAAACCAGAATTTTAGTCTTATAACTGTTTTTATGTCAGAATATCCTAGCACTGACCAAAGCAAATTGGATATTCATTATTATATTTTATAATTATTTTTCTTAAATATTATATGGAAATGCTACTTACAGTCTACATCAGAGCATATAACTAAAGGACTCTTGCCCCCCATTTCTAATGTTACTCTTTTTGTGTTGCTTTGACCAGCAGCTTGTTGGATAAGTTTTCCAACCTAGAAAAAATATTTAAAATTCTTATTTTGTTGGATGTAAATTAACATTATTTGTTATAATTCATTAACAAATATTTTAATTATTTTTGTGATGAAAATTACTTTTCTAAACCTAAAAGGACTCTTAGTCTTGAAATATGATTCTGCATTGATTCACTTTTAATATCATCCTCTGTAAATGTGTTACAGTCAAAAGTCGTTAATCCGGACTCGTCGGGACTTCGGCGATTCCGGATTATCGATTTTTCCGGATTATAGATCATCAGTTTAAATCTGGTAAGATGGCATACAAAAATTACAAAATTAAAAATATGAAACCGTAATTTATGAAGTAAAGAACAATTATGATCTAAAGGGTATCAAAATTTACAAAAAGAAAAAACTTAATATTTATTTGTTTACTTTATTAAACATTTCCTTCAATGTAAGTTGCTTCGTTTCATGTGATAATACTTTCTCTTTAATTCTATTAAACAGACATAATTTCTTGTTTAGTTACAAAGTTCCGCTGTTCAAGTCCTATAATTGCTGTGTTGAGAATACCGACTAATTTGTCAATCGAAATGTTTTCAATAACCTCTGGGTCACTTTCTTCACTGTCCGAAGCGAATTATAATGACGAGGAACTTGATTTAAATCACATCAAAGACAGAGTACATCGAGATGAAATACTAAACTTAGTACGGAATTATAATCCAAATAAAATAAAAACATCTGCTCTGAAGATAAGGATAGTGTTGACAGATCAACTTCCAATCCCCATGTGAAATTGATAAACAGATTTCGGATTTCAAAACATACTTCCGCTTTGTAGATACAAATTACATATTAGTAAATATATATTGGAAATTCTATTTGACATAATATTTCTAATCTATCATAACCTAATAATGACGTTTCTGCCCCCCCCCCTCTGCCGCAGAGCAGCGTGAAATTGATAAACAGATTTCGGATTTCAAAACATACTTTTGCTTTGTAGTAAATATATATCGGAAATTCTATTTGACATAATCGAAAGTTCAAGCTTACTTTTATAAAACTGCTCTAACAGTCTGCAAAAAATAATAAGCCGGATCCAATTCGAAGATTAAGGAACAACGCAATCTGCAACATTAACTGAATTAGATAACTTTAGCTTAGCGTATGACTCCGTTACACATTAAACGTGCATGCGCACAAACATATTCGCAGCCATAAGGGTCTTACGCGCTCTCGTAAATGCCTGTGCGCATGCGTGAACGCGACGCATGCGCAAAAAGTTTGTAGCTTTGAGGTCCGGATTATAGATCATTCCGGATTATGGGTGTCCGAATTAACGACTTTTGACTGTATTTACCTTTCCATTCGAGTCTGTTGCCATTTGGCAAAATATAAGATATCTTTCGAATTCTATCTGTAGCAACTAAGCTATTTAGGAGCAATAGATGCAGCTGTTAAGAATATTATTTTTTAACTTTTTAATCTGATTGATTTAAATTAAATGCTTTATCTGATTGATTTTAATGCTTTTAATTAATGATATACCTAATTAAAAACATACATTTTTAACAAATTAAATTTGGTTATATGTTTTTTCACTTTTCAAATATACAGAAGATATATAATGTTCCCAGTTAGTCTAAGTGTATATAAATCTTCGGCCACTTCTATTAATAATCTTTACTGATAAACCATGTCAAACTTTAAAACAGCCCTTTGGGAGTATCATTAAAATCCGAACCCTCCTAGATCTTTTTTTCACTTTTCATTTTGGATCTTTTCCACCAGAAGACAACATTTCCCACATAATTTTCCTCCGGAAAGATATATGTGCCAATTTTATACTTCTAGAGAGAAGACATACTTTCAGCATCAGTTGATTTTGGCTGTGGTAAAACTTTTATACACATAGGAATGTATCTCTTAAATTAGTTATTTCAATAAATAAAGAACAAAATAGAATAATGTACCTGTTTATTGACAATACATTGAAAACAAGAATACCGCTTTTGCATATAGCAAGATTTCTGGAGAACATATTTAATTTAATGACAGCTAATGAGCAACACTTGTGCATTGTAGCACTAGATTTTCAATCAATGAAAGACTCAATTGATGAAAAAACAACAATAAATGTAATGAATATGTTAAATTTCACAAAAAGAAATGATACACTAAAAAAAAGAAGAAAGAATGAAATGGTGACATGTTTCAGTGCAGCGACAATGCATCATGTCACACCCAATTCCTTCCTCCAACTATCTCCTCTATCACTGACCTCTGTCAATGACCTCCGCCCATTTTTGTCTTTTTTGTGTTCTCAAAGCTAACCTTCCACCAGTTGACTCTGACCACGGAGAGGAAAATTCTGAAAGGCTGCATGAGGTCAATACAAACTCTTCAGCAGGAAAACAAAATGAGGACTGCCAAAGCTCTTTACCTAAGCACTGTCTTAGTATTTATCATTCTGTAGAAAATTGTTTGGCATATGTTGTTTTAAAACAGATGATTCTTAATTTCAACTGATATAAAGTTGTGAGGTGAAAGAAATATAATATATAGTAACAATTTAAAACAAAATAATTTACCTCAGTTGAACCAGTGAAGGATACTTTATCAACTTCATGATGGGCAGTCAGAGCACCACCTGCAGTTGGACCATATCCTGGAACAATATTTATAACTCCAGGGGGAAATCCAGCTTCTTTTACTAAACTTGCCATATATAGGGCTGTCAAAGGTGTCTGTTCAGCAGGTTTCAAAATGACTGTATTGCCAGCAGCAATAGCAGGACCAACCTTGTTGCTGACAAGGAGTACAGGAAAGTTCCACTACAGGGACATGAAGAAATATTTTGTTATTTTCCTTCACAGTTATAAGGAATAAAATATTTAAATTCAGAAACTTCTTGTAAATGATGAAACACTGTTTATATATGATTTAAATACTATTTATAGAAAACTGCTTTACACTGTTCATGAATCAATCTTACATCTTTATTGAACTGGCTTTACATTCCTTATTAAATTGATTTTACACATTTAATTAAATTGATTTTACGCTTTCTGCACAAAGATGTATGTTTTAACAATGTGAAACAAAAAAAGTATTTCAGAAAATTAAATAATGTATTAAATTTATATGGTGTGTTGGACAAATAGATTTAAAAAGTAATGTTATACCTTTTTAAATTTTTTTTATTTGTAAATATTTTTATAACTCAACAAAAATATCATCTAAACTGCATTAGCCCAAAATAAGATTTAATATATTTGTTTTCTTAAAATGGCCCCTAAAAACCATACACACCTTGTATGTGTAGCATAAGATTTTAAAAAAAAGTGTAAAATATATCTACACTTGAACTTCAAATTTGGTGTTAAAAGAAAACATATTCACATGGTCTTACCTCAAGGTATGATATTTAGGTACATTAATAAGCTCAAATACCTAAGGCACTTTTTTTAAAATAACTTTTTTCCATTATAAAATACTTTTAAAAATCTAGATCTGATATGTGGGGCTGTTTCATATCTGGGCTAATTATAATTATAAAAATATAGATTAGAGATTAAAATATTATCTTCCAATCTAAATCAAGGGATAAAATGTAATTTGTAAATAATAATTTGTAAGATTAAATCAATTAAATTGGAGATTTTATCAATTTTATATTCATTTGCCATTCATAGAACATGAACATTGGACATCTGAATTTGCAGATATAACTTTCGACACCTCACACAGAATTATATAAAAAGAATGAAAATGAAAGAAACTTACTGGAATAATTAGTCCACATACGCCAACAGGTTCTAAGCGAGTGTAAGAGAAGGTGCTCCCATCTGCAATTTTAAACAGAGTGTTTTATTTCATAAATTAACATTGAGACATTTGAATAAATTTTAAAAAGTTTATATTTATACAAGTTAATCACAAAGAGCCTTGCTCAAATGTTAACAAGTATTGAAAATAAAATTACAGAACTTCTTATACTTTAAGATGCAAATATTGGATGGATATTGATAAATTATGAACTATATGGACCTCAATTAAAATACACAGAATTTAAAACCTGCAAATAAAAAAGCCATGAAACTAACTCAAACTTTTAGGGACTAACATGACAGCCCATAAGAATGTGTAGCTTTAATGCTGAATTCATTATAATAACTTCAGGTTTCTTTGTTTCCTATTTTTCAGTATATAAATTAAAAATTTCAAGGTGTTATTCAAGAGTAAAACTATTTTATTTCAGAACAAAATTATTACTTTCATGAAAATATCAAAATGTAATTTTAACAAATATTAAGTTTTCATTGCATAGGAATTTTCAGTAATCTAATAATCCAGGGGCAGGAACTGCTGCTCATAATTTACAGAACATGAACTTTTAAAATCTGATTACCTGTTAATAAGCAATTTCATTAACTATGCTTCTTACAAAATTACCCAATAAAAGAATATTTGTTAAAAAAGCAATATACTAAAATTACAGCTTAAATTTAAGAGAAATTAAATTCTATATGCTACTCTTAAAAAATAGCGATTTTTTATACATGCATTCAAAAATATCTCTTTTGTTTTACATAAAAAACTCTCGATTTATCTTTAAAAATGACAGTTTAACTCAAATATCTGGTAGTAACGAAGTACCTTTAGTGCAGGTAGTAATCACCACCCAAATCAATGATTTTTCTGACGTTTTGGTTGTTTTTCAAAGCCTTCGGTCCAAATACTTGGTGGCCACTTTGCGCAGATGATATTTGCGGTGGTGGGAATATATACTAAAATATTTGATGTGCATATTTTGCATAATATATACACTAAAAATGTCTGATGTAGACACCACATGACTTTCTTGTATGCGTTATTAAATTTATATACTATGTTGTTTGCTGCATGCCATTTAAACTTATTTCCATGAATTTCATTAGAAGCATATTTCTCATGCAATCAATTTATTTCTCAATTCATGGCAAGGCAAAAATATATAAAAACTCAAAATATCTTCATTAAAAATTGTAAAGTACAGAAAAAACTAAAACAACAAATACAGTTAAGAAACAATTTTTACAATTAAAGTTTCTATGACAAAACAAGCAGTTCGACCAATGTGCAAGCAGACTAAATTTTCGGTGAACAAAACTGAATGTTAACTCTTGATCCCACTGGGCAAAACTATACTGAAGTTGGTGCACCAACTAACTGAAAGTCGCTAATAAACTAACAGTCTACTAAAAGTTTCAAATTTAAACAAAATGGTAGCCTTGTTAGGCCCTAACACCACTTTTTAATTGTTGATAAATCTATAACTACTGCATGCACAATAACTAAAGGCATAAAAACCTGAACTGGAACATAACAACAACATAATTCAACCACTATCAAAGCAAAAAAAAAAAAAAAAAAAAAAAAAAAAAAAAAAAAGCACAATTTATCAATATATAAGAATAAAAATACTAAGCTCACTGGGCCAAATAGCAGGGTGGGAAAATATATATAAAGAGAGATGTTTGGTGCAGCTGATTGCAACAGAAAAGGGAAGTGTACAACTGTATGTTATAGCAGTTCCATATATAAAATCTCAACATTCTACGGCTACTCATTTTTGAGTTATACGAGATACATACATTATGTATGTAAGTATAGACATCACGAAAAAAATCAGTTCTGAATCCATTTCACAATCCACAAAAAAGCTAAATAAACAATATCATTGATAATGGAGGAAAACATTGACAATCAATGTTTTCTAGGAAACAGAATGCCAAATGTTAGCTCAAAATTCTAAACTTCAAAGTCCATTTCAAATATTAAACTAGAGAATAAAAAATTAAAAGAGAATCCATCCACTCAATGAGCAACATAATACTATAAACTTTCAAAATATCTATCGCTGTTGCGAATAAAAAAAAAAAAAAATCTGAAATGTTTCAGATTTTAAATTACGTCCAAAGGGGCGTTTTTTAACATTTTGTGTGTTACCTTTCTTTATTAAATATCATGTTCCTCGCACTTAAACCATAAGATCCAGTGCAACAGCAATATTGCAAAATAGTTTTAAAACGAGCATATCTTTAGAATTTCCGATACAGAGACTCACGCGCTGGAGATAAAAATGTTTTTTCTGCACAACGTTGCCATTGCTCGCTTTGAAATCCTTGAGTTTGTTAATCAAAAATTCGTCAAAGTTTTAAAAAAAATAGGAAATCGATCATAAAACAAATTTCAAATTTCAAATTTGGTCTTCCACATGCTCATATTCGTTGGAGGATTACGTTATTCAAAATTCGATGACTCTATGTACCGTTGTTTTATCACAATACGAGAAATATACATACATTTATGCAGATTTTTCATTATTTAATTTCTTCAAATATAATGCAGGACTCTAACATTTTGTGGCAACAGTTTGAAAAGTGAACCGACATTTATGAGTCCGACGCAAAATGCCAAAACGAAACTAATAGTCCTTCGGGATTCAAATCCTTTTGGACTAAAAAAAAAAAAATAATTGTTATCTTTTGAGACATTAAAAAAAAGAAAATTTAATTCAATTATATTAAAAATGGAAATTTATTATAATTATAGATACATTATAGCAAACCATGGCAATTATTATAATTATAGATAAATTATTGATACATTATAGCAAACCATGGCAATTATTATAATTATAGATACATTATAGCAAACCATGGCAATCTATGACCCATGGGTCACCGAGTGACACATTTTATAACTTAAAAGTACCCATTTGAGTTCTGAAAATAAAGTATAATATGTAAAAATAAATTATAAAACATTAATATGAAATAAGCACTTGAAGAATACACTAAAAAATTATAATACAGTCAAAAGTCGTTAATTCGGACACCCATAATCCGGACCTCAAAGCTAAAAACTTTCTGCGCATGCGCCGCGTTTACATATGCGCACATGTGTTTACGCGTGCGTATAAGAACTTTACGAATGCGCATATGCGTGTGCGGAAGCGCAGAATATGTTTTCGCATGCACATTTTATGTATAACGGACAGTATAAGCTAAAATTATCTACTTCAGTTAATGATGATGATTGCGTTTTTCCTTAATCTTTGAAATGGACCCGGCTTATTATTTTTTGCAGACTGTAAGAGCAATTTTGTAAAAGTAAACTTGAACTCTCGATTATGTCAAATAGAATTTCCGATGCTGGAGCTTCCAAAGGATCTACAAAACGAAAGTATGTTTCGATGTCCATCAAACAAAAAGTGGAATTGCTGCAAAAAATGGATAAAGACATGAAGAAGGTGACAGAGAGGTTAGTGAAAACGAAAAAATTTTGATTGACAAGTTAGTCGGTATTCTCGGCACAGCAATTACGGGACTTGAACAGCGGAACTTTGTAACTGAACAAGAAATTACGTTTGTTTATATAGAATTAAAGAGAAAGTATTAGCACATAAAACAAAGCAACTTAAACAACTTACATTGAAAGAAATGTTTAATAAAGTAAACAAATAAATATTAAGCTTTTTTTTTTTTTTTTTTTTTGTAAATTTTGATACTTTTTAGATCATAATTGTTCTTTATTTCATAAATTACGGTTTCATATTTTTAATTTTAGAATTTTTGCATGCCATCTTAGGAGATTTAAACTGATGATCTGTAATCCAGAAAAATCGATAATCCGGAATCGCCGATGTCCCGACAAGTCCGGATTAACGACTTTTGACTGTAATAACAATGACATTTTTGTTTTCTGCAACGAACATGCATTTTTATTTCTTAAAAATAAAAACTGTAACATAATTTAAAGAATTCGATAAATTTAACAATGCCAATCCACAATCCATAATTCCAAAAAACTGGTTTTTCTGTTTTTTCCATGTTCAGTTCAACTTATAAATACAAGCAAATATTTCCACACATGAAATTTATTTTAAGTAAGAACAGCAGCAGCTTTACTACTAAAAATTCAGATGCTTGTATTCATCTTAAGATGACTAACTAAAAGCCAAACTTCACGGAGCGATTGATATCGCTGAGAAAAATAAAGTTTATTCAGTTATGTTTGTCTTTATAATAGTAGTTAGAATTACAATTTTAATTTTCATGCTTAAATTTTAAGAGGTATTGTAATTATTTTGTCAAACTTTTCTTATTTTTCACCAAAAAAAGACATCTAAAATGGAAATACCAATGGAAATACCACTGACTCAAAATGTCTTCTTAATACACACATTTTAGTTGATTTTGACCTCAGCCAAAAAGGGTTGCTGATGCATTATAGGTTTGAATGACTGTAATACAAAGTGGTCAATTTAATATCATAAAGCTGAAGAAATAGACTTGATTTTTAAGACTCTAAAGAAAAGTTTTAATAAATGGAGTATGATCACAATTGGCTTTCCACATACAGCAGAATTAAAATTAAGAATAGTCAAAGGGAATGTATATACCAACTTTGCAGATTATCAAAGCAATGTTGAACTTTTAAAAAAGAAATCCCATTTCTTTTATCTGCATTATGTAAAAGAAGTTGAACTCCATCAGGACAATGCTCTGAGTTACATGTCAAAATCTTGAACCATATTTCTAGAAAAAATGAAAAAGTCACATGTATCCTTTCCAAACATTTGTATGTCTGACATAAAGTGATTCCAGAAAAAGCTATGCCACTGATGGCCTGTACTGTTTACAGACTGTTAAAGAGAATACTTTCTATCCAAAGATAATTGGCAGACTATCGAAAGCAGCACAAGAGGAGTAGGACAAATTCCCACAATAAAATTTAAAAATGTACTCTGTAAAAGAAATCAGCATGTAGTTCAATGATTATAAATGGTTATATGACAAGATGTTAAAAAATAAGAATATTTTAACGTTTTACAACAACATCAAAATCATTCAAAAAGTGTATAAACACTATCTGAAATCTAGCATCACAGGAAAAAAGGCTAAAAATTTTTCATAATCCCAAATAAAATTACTACAAGATTTTTCATGTATTCAAAATATCCTAAAACTCTGCTAATATTTGTAAAATAAGAATATTTTATTCTTTTGCAACATCAAAATCATTCAGAAAGTGTATAAATACCATCTGTAATTTAGCAGAACTCCACATTTGTACTTATTCTTTAAGCGACAAAACTTCAGCTTCTAGTGGAATATAATAATGGAATCCTAGTGGAAATAATTTTCATGGTAGTAAACTTTATTATGAAATTAAACAGTTCCTAATTTGATAAAACTTACCAGCAGGTATAGTTTTTCCATGAATTTTATCTGCACAACCAGCATAATATCTAAATGTTCTGATAGCAAATATTAAATCTCCATACGAATCTTTGAAAGGTTTCCCATTTTCTAAAGTTTGGAGATTCTAGAATAGAAAGATATCTAATAAATTAAAACAAATTAAATATTATACATACAACTTTACTTCGTTTTTTAGTATCTTATTCTCATAGTACCTTTTCATCTTTGATGTAATATATTTTTATTGATAAGAGAAAATCTTTATATTCATACTATATATATCTTGCAATATCATTATATTGATAAGAATAAAAAAGATTTAAATGATATTAAATCTATTTTTATATTTAAAAAAAAAAAATGGTGAAAAATATTTAACATATTTTTAAACATTATACGAGAAAATATCATACACAATTTGGAAGTAATTTGGCTTTGAATGGTTATGCAGTCAACCATTTCAAGTTTTCAAAATTCAAAGAAACTTACTGCTAAGTATTCCATGTCTCGTTCCAGAAGATCAGCAAATCTGTTTAAGAGACGGCCTCTTTCAGAGGCATCCATTGTACGCCATGGAGAACCAATCTGAAATGCATTTTTAGCTGCTTGGACAGCTTTTTGAACGTCAACCTAGTTAAGAAAATATATGAAATACAATTTTTCTGTATAAGTCAAAAGCATATCATTCTCAGACTGCATTATCAGTTAACAAGTAAATTAAGTTAATAACATTTTTTAAAAAGTGCTTTTTTTAAATTTTGAATGGATTACAAAAGATCAAAATATTAGTAAGAAAAGCTATTTAAATGAAAATAAATCTGATTCAGAAACTGCTTTCTAGTTAAACAGCAGTTTTTATTCAGCGTTATTCAAGTTGAAAGCAATAAATGTTATTTATTTACAATATGTTGCTTATTTATAATGCATAACAATTTCTTGCTCAGTTATTTTCTCTCCAATTCATAACTTGTCCTCCTTTTGCCAGACTCGACGTCTGGGCAAAAGGAAGCAACTCAACGTGGCATGGACTCAACAAGTCGGAAGTCCCCTGCAGGAATATTGAGCCATGCTGCCACTATAGACGTCCATAATTGTGAGAGTGTTGATGGTGCAGGGTTTTGGGCATGAACTGACCTTTCGATGATGTCCCATAAATGTTCGATGGGATTCATGTTGGGCGATCTAGGTGGCCAGATCATTCGCTGGAATTGTCCAGAATGTTCTTCTAACCAATCGCAAACAATAGTGGCCCGGTGACATGGCACATTGTCATCCATAAAAATCCCATCGTTGTTTGAGTACGTGAAGTCCATGAATGGCTGTAAGTGATCTCCAAGTAGCTGAAGGTATCCATTTCCAGTCAATGATCGGTTCAGTTGCACCAGAGGACCAAGTCCATGCCATGTAAAAACAGCCCAGACCATTATGGAACCACCACTAGCTTGAACAGTGCCTTGTTGACAACTTGGGTCCATGGCTTCGTGGGGTCTGCATCACACTCGAACCCTACCATCAGCTCTTACTAACTGAAATCGTGACTCATCTGACCAAGCCATGGTTTTCCATTCGGTTTAGGAACCAACCGATATGCTCACGAGACCACGAGAGTCGCTGCAGGCGATGTCGTGCTGTCAGTAAAGGCACTTGAGTCGGTCTTCTGCTGGCATAGCCCAAGGAAGACAAATTTCGCCGCACTGTCCTATCGGAAACGTCCCTCGTACGTCCCACATTGATTTCTGTGGTTATTTGACGCAGTGTTGCTTGTCTGTTAACATTGACAACTCTACGCAGACGTCGCTGGTCTCGGTCGTTAAGTGCAGGTGGTCGGCCACTGCGCTGTCCATGGTGGGATGTTATGCCTGAAATTAGATACTCTCGGCACACTCTTGACACTGTGGATCTCGGAATGTTGAATTCCCTAACGATATCCGAAATGAAATGACCCATGCATCTAGCTCCAACTACCATTCCGCGTTCAAAGTCTAATTCTCGCCGTGCGGCCATAATCACGTCAAAGCCTCTTCACATGAATAACTTAAACACAAATGAAAGCCCTGCCAAAGCACTTCACATTTATACATTTTCTACGCCATACTACTGCCATCTGTATATTTGCATATTGTTATCCTATGACTTTTGTCACTTCAGTGTAAATATGAGAGCATAATTAATTATAAACTTAATTTACACAAATTTAGAGGATAAATTATAATTAAAAAGTCAATAATCCTACTTTTTTCCTTTCAGGGGAAAAGGGAAATTTACTTAAGCAAAGGCTAATTGTTAAGGAATTTATTGAATTAAAAAACATTTAATCGGCAATTATACTCAACATTTTAAATTCAAAACTGACTGTAAGATCAACTTTTTCACTTTATCTGGTATGTTACAAGAAACAGAATGAATACATTAATATTTTGGGGTAATAAATTACCAAAAAAGAAAAGAGTCGGCTGTGAACAATCAAAACGTAAAAGGTTCAAATTAGGACTTGTATACTATAGATGAACACGGCAGGTAGATTCAAATATATTGAAAATAAGCAATAAGCAACTGCAAGTGTAAGTAAAAATCGCAATACGTAAGAGAAAGAATATACGTATTATATATAAGTGTATATGTAAAGTGTTTTTTTCTCCAAACTATCAGTCACTGCGCCTCAGCTCGGCTATTGGCGAAATGAATACATAGTCTAGTTTATATTAATAGCCGCAAGATGTCAATTGTCTTCTGTTTCACATAGCAACTATCACATGTTTAAAATGTCTACTCCGCAGCAGAAATCATTTTGTGTTCTCGAGTTTGCAAAGTGCAATTCCGTGATTACAGTGCAAAGATATTTCCAACTCAGGTACCAAAGTGATCTTCCAAATGAGCGGAACATTCGCAGATGGTATCGAAAGTTTGTACAGTCAAAAGTCGTTAATTCCGACACCCATAATCCGGACCTCAAAGCTACAAACTTTCTGCGCATGCGTCGCGTTCACGCATGCGCACAGGCGTTTAAGAGTGTGCATAAGACCTTTACGGCTGCGAATATGTTTGTGCACATGTGCGTTTAATGTGTAACAGAGGTATAAGTTAAGCTAAAATTATCTAATTCAGTTAATGTTGCACATTGCATTGTTCCTTAATCTTCGATTTGGATCCAGCTTATTATTTTTTGCAGACTGTTAGAGCAATTTTATAAAATTAAGCTTGAACTTTTGACTATGTCAAATAGAATTTCCGATATATATTTACTAATATATAATTTGTATCTACAAAGCGAAAGTATGTTTTGAAATCCGAAATCTGTTTATCAATTTCACGTGGCGGATTGGAAGTTGATCTGTCAGCACTATCCTTATCTTCAGGGCAGATGTTTTTATTTTATTTGGCTTATAATTCCTTACTAAGTGTAGTATTTCATGTCGATGTACTCCGTGTTTGATATGATTTAAATCAAGTTCCTCGTCGCTTCCGATAGTGAAGAAAGTGACCCAGAGGTTATAGAAAACGAAAACATTTCGATTGACAAACTAGTCGGTATTCTCAACACAGCAATTATAGGACTTAAACAGCGGAACTTTGTAACTAAACAAGAAATTATGTCTGTTTAATAGAATTAAAGAGAAAGTATTATCACATGAAATGAAGCAACTTACATTGAAAGAAATGTTTAATAAAGTAAACAAATAAATATTAAGCTTTTTCTTTTTGTAAATTTTGATACCCTTTAGATCATAATTGTTCTTTATTTCATAAATTACGGTTTCATATTTTTAATTTTGCAATTTCTGCATGCCATCTTACCAGATTTAAACTGATGATCTATAATCCGGAAAATCGATAATCCGGAATCGCCGAAGTCTAGATTAACGACTTTTGACTGTATATACAGGATGTGTATGTAAAGGAAAGAGTCCTGGCAGCCCTCGTGTTCCCAATGAAAATGTTGCAGCTTCAGAATTCAAGAAGACGGGCCACCCCCCCCCCACTGGTGTCGCCAAGTGCGTGATTACCTGAATGAAATTACTGTGTTTATGATATAGTTATTCTCTTTTACAATAACAAAGACAAGCTAGCTAAAGTTCTTTGTTATCAATTCGAGACAGATCTTACTCTTTAATCTCTTTTCCATAGAAGGTCATACTTTATGCCAATATTCCAATAAATTTGTATACATAAATTGCATGGAATGAATCTTACTATACAACTATTGCATACTGTAAATCTTCTTCAATCTGTCTTTTTTTCATGCCAGATCTTTTCATTCTGTTAACCAAGATTTAGCTGCCTTTTATTCTTTTATGTTCTGTGAACTTTTTGTTTAGGTGAACTTTTAATCAGGAACTCAACTATTCAAAAGCAGTTGCAAATGACAGTTTCAGGATCTGACATTATTAAGCAAGCAATTAAAAATATTTCATTTCATTACAAGAAAGTAAACTTTTGATCTAAATGACACTTTCATTTTGAGTTAATTGCATTTCATTTTTTTTCTTTTGAACAGCTATAAAATGATACATGTTCTAAATAGGAAATTTTCATGTCTTTCTTTGCTAACAAAATTTGTGATTTGGTCCATCGAGACACTAATCTAGACATGAACCCTAGGGATTCAACTTCAAGTTTAAATTATATATGTAAAGCTTTCTTGCCAATATAGAACTTTATTGTACTCCTTCCCAGTATGGTTACGCTGGTCATATGAGATAGTACTGAAACTTTGAAGTGAATTTTGAAATGGTTTGAAAAAAAAAAAAAAAGAGTTCATAAATCATGCACTGCATTCCACTACTGGTTGGAAAATAACTTCCTGTCCTCCTTCTGAAAAATTATTTAAAATACTTCTTCAGACAGACAGCTAAAATCTTTTCATATACAGTAAATTCTTTTCATTTTAATTAATGTTACAAATTTTAACTCTTATTGGTTTTTTGCCTTTATAGAACTTGATTGTTCAATTGTTTCTTATTAATTTTTCCTGTAAACAAATGATATTACATATTTAGTTTTCTATCACTTGATTAAAAGTTCCTTAAAAGCCGTCTTCGCACACTGGCATATGATTCAGGGATTTCGTTTTCTTATTCACAATTAAAGAAGAAAGAACAGCAGACCTTCAAAACAAGTAATCCAAATTTGTCTTGCATTATGTCAGTTCTCATGTTAGCAATTATCATGAGATATTGTTCCCTTTTGAACTTATATTCATGCTATCAGGAAAGTTTAAATATGGACTACATTAAAAGGATCAAAATTAACATGTTTAAAATTATGAATGACCTGATGCAAATTTAGTAATTTATGAAAATTGTAACTTAGGATGTACATGTATTGTCAAATGAATGTCCTATTTTTCAGTTGTCTTATAACCAAGGTTTTTCTTGTTTTATTTAGGTTTAATTCATGTTTCAACTTTTGCATATCATAAACTGTAAAACCTTTTAAGATAAATGAATGTATTAATCACTATAGCGTGATTATCTCAACTTTTAAAATCATACAGGAAGGAAACATTTCAAACAAATTCCAACTGAGGATTTGAATATACATATGCACAGTTTTTGATATGTGATAGAATAGGCAAGTTTTAATATGCCACACATGTTTGATGTGTGGATTCTCATACTTTTATTTAGTACATTAATTTTTTTCTTTGCAAAATAGTATTTATTCACTGGGTGCAAAAATGTAAATGTTGAGCATGCAGACTTTTGTCTCTTCTTATATATTTTTTTCCCCTTCTTAAAAACACACGTTTTTATATTTATTATAAATAAAACAATATTAATTAAGTTTAAGGGTATGCAATTTTAGTCATACAAAAAAAATCACAAATGAGTTGAAGACTTTTCGGGGAGGAAGAGTGCAGATAGTAAGATATTGTGTGTTACAGATAAGAAAAATTTATAAATCAAGAGATTTGACCTGAAATAAGACCAGTCTTTTATGTGCTTACCTTGTCACCTTCTTCTACCTCACAGATTTTTTCTGCAGTGGCAGGATTGATCACAGGAAATTTTTTACCACTTGCTGAAGTATGCCATTCATTGTTGACAAAAATCTAGATAGAAAAGCAGAAATAAATTTTTCAATTAGGAAAAAAAAATTCTTCAGTTAGTAAATTTACACGAATAACTTCAAGATAATTCTATTTCAGTTTCCATATGTCTTTCAATTATGTCCAATGTAAATAAATAATACTGCCAAGCAATGACAGTCAAAGGCATAATTGTACTAAAATTTCTTTTCCTTTATTAAGGTTTTCCTTAGCAGTTTTCTTCATACTGCCTTCTTTTCTATTTTTTTCTTTCTAGTCATTCTGATTTTTGAACTGTGAAATAAGGATTATCATCTATTAGTTTGTAATTCTGCAAATAAACCCAGTAAGTGAGAATATTCTCTATCCGACTGTATAGTTTCTTTATTTTTTATGAAGAATTTTGATTAATTTCCTTTGAATTATTTTTATAAGTAACTAATACTATGTTAAAAACTTGTATATGTAGTAGTTACTTTCATTTTATGAAAATTTATCTTGTTAACAATTCAGAACTCAAAAAACTTCTGTTTTAATAATAATAATTTTGTTTTCTGAGAGTGTGAATTAATCTCTTTATTGATAACTATAAGAAACACAATGATATTTCATTGTGAAAGGACTTAATTTTCATTCAGTATGTATAAATTTTTTTTTTTTTTTTAATTCTGCTAATTCTGGTAGAATTCCCCTCCCCCTTCCCTCCTGAAGAAGAGGAACTTTTGTCTGATTACTTTCAAAACTGATATATTGTTATTCAAAATCTACACCAAAATAAAGTTGCTATTTTACCCAATTTTAAATTTTACACTGGCATGTTTCTTTTCCAGTTTGACTTAAAATCAATTTGTATATATAAATTTAATTCACCAATTTGTGATTTTTTTTAAACATTTCTTACAGTAATGTATTAAGTTTTCCAGAAAATTAATATTAAAAGGAAAATGTTTTCATTTCCCTGTCATTATTTAAAATGTCTTTACCCTATGCTTTGCAATTTTTGAATCTATATTATTCTAAAATTGAGACAAGATGACAGATGTAGCAAAATACAGCTCCCAAATTACTCTTCAGCAAAGAGCAAAAAGGTAGTGTAATTATGTTAAAACTAATTTCATTCATGTAATCTTTCATTTTTCATAGTATTTTTATGGTGTACCCTTTTTTATGATTTCAAAATAATCATACATCTTTTTTTCTCTTTGAGTTCCATTTTACACTCCCTCACCCTACCCCCGATTTACAAAAAATATTTTGCTTTCACAAAGTTGGCAAACATTATATTCATAACATAGGTATCCACAGGGTGAGAACAGGATACTTGTCCCTCGTTCCCTGGAAATTATGTAAAAAATATGTTTGTGTAAGTACTTCATAAAAAAGGAAACTCAAATTGAAAATAGCTTTTATGCTTGCATCTTTTGATGGGAGATGAAAGAAAACCAAATGACTGGATAACAATAAAGCTTAAAGTAGAATATAATGTTTTTCATATTAATCATATGGTATTATGAAATGTGAGACTACCTTCTTCAGTTACAAAATGTACTCTTTGTATATTTTTACACACAACTTCCACATGCTTTGCATTGATATTATACAGTTTTCAATGCCAAATTAAAGCTTTTAGAAACGTAAGCACTTAAAGATTTTGATGCTGCCACATAAATTTAATCCTGTTTGCATTATTTCTCTGCTGGCTTTGGTTTACTGGCATCATACTTTCATGGCAAAATCAGCAACAGGAAATTTTTGTAGTGCCCTTTTCTTTAATGGGCACTAATTTCCTTTTCTATTTTGTTTAACGGCTAATCTAGCACTGACGGTTTTATAAAATCTTGCCAGAGAGAAGGTACTAACATTGATTTAATAATATCAATATGAATTTCCAGTACTTTTCAGCTCTCTGTTACATAATTAACTTACATAATTACATACAATTACTTAATTACAATCTGTTACTCAAGTTTTAATAACTTAAAAGACTGCTCAGTTTGTTTTTCAGTGAGTTGGTAAAGTAGTATGTAAGCATGAACTTCTCTTCTTGTGAATTATAAATTGCATTATCATTCTTGGTTCCATTCTCTCTCATTTTGGAAAATATATTACAATGTTATTAAAACATTTTAAATGCTTAAGATAGATTTTTTTAAAAAAATTATAAATGCTTTAATATTAGATAATTGGTAAGTTTTGCTTAAATTTTCATCTTATTATGATAATTACCCTTAAAAATAACAAATAAACAATACTTTCAATTTTAAAAATGAAATACAAAATAGTAAATAGCCCTTTTTGAGTTAAAATGGACTCACTAATTTAGAGTTAAGAACCAGCACAGAAGTTTTTCTTTCTTGTACAAATATTAATGCATTTATGTTCAAAATACAATTCAGATTTCTTACTTCAAGAAAAATAATTAATATCAAATAATAATTTATTCCCTTTCAAATCTCTGGGGATTTTAAAAAGCAGTAAGTTCTATAAGTTATTATTTAACTTCAATTAGTTAATATATAATTAAATACATGAAATTCAAACAAACTTTGCATTTACTTATTTTTATTTTAAAATCTATGCATTTAAATTGTACATTTGATATGATTAATGCACATTTGAATTAATTAATATGAAAAATATTGATTTTATCAGAAATATATTTTTGTTAATAATGGGCGGATAACACTTGTTAACTATCGGCAAAGGCAAGGTAACCGCATTCACATCATCAACTGAACTGAACTGAAATGAGTTGATATTCCGCTAAAAAAAAAAAATAACCGCCCCTTAAAGTGGAAACTCAGTTATATTCGCTAGACGCGCAACTTTGTAATTATTAAATATTTTTACTTACATACCTTCTGTCTTTAAATATTAAGGATTTTAATATATATAATAAATATTTTCCTACATATAGTTCATACGTTTGCACATAGAAACTATACATGAGAATAACATACCTATGTTTAAATACCTCGCTCAAATAGTACTAACAAATAGTACTAAACTTCCAATAGTAACTCGTCAAAATAGTACTAAACGGACATTTAAATTTTCACGTTACTTCATTTCTAGAATCAGCCTACAAAATATATTACTTTGATGATAATATTGATAATTTTCTTACCTTCGTATACTTGATTTCGACTTTTGGATTAGCTTTAGCTGACATTTTAATAATTAGATGAACTAAGAACCTCACGCTCCAGGTAGAAAGAAGCAGGAACTCGCTCTGTCACCGGCAATTTATATGCTCCACCATCGACTCGTTTTGGAACACATCCTGACCTTCAATATTTTCTTTTTTTCCTTCGCCACGAGATTGGCGATGCCACTAAAATCAGCGGGGGTAGTCGCCATGCGGAATTCTTTTGCGATAACAGAAAACTAAAGTGGTATATTAGATTAAAAATCAAAACAAAAGAAAAAGAAAGAAATAAAAGATGCACGTGGACGCATACTTATCTAAAAAAAAAAAAAAAAAAAAAAAAAAAGGGAGGGAGAAAAGAAGGAGAGTTAGATAATTGTTACTGTATATTGTCCAAATAGGGCCGGCGTTAAGTATTTCGCCAATCGGAATCTATGCTGGCCCTCAATTCTTCTATTTTTCTCCCTCGACTCTCTCTAAATTCTAAAAATTTTAGTGACCCTAAATTCTGGAGACGAAAGCCTTTCTTTAATTCTAAAAGTTCTGCCATTCATAAATTTTGTTTCTCAGTGCTACTCAAAATGTCAAAAAGTCTGCCCTGCTGCTCTGGCGCCGGCCCTCTGTCCAAGTGATCTACCTTACAGGTAACTTACTCAACATAGTACTTGGTCAACAGCAACAGTATTTGCAAACTGGATGGTGATGCGAGAACAGAATTTTATAAAGAGCAGTTTTCTCCTTGAAAGACGAGATCGCAAGTTATTGATATACATTGAAAGGGTGAATATACTTTTAAGGAATACTTTTGAAGGAAAAAACGAACATTGACTAGACGCTGGGTTGGATAGGAAAGGTTTATGCTGAAGTACTCTAAGGGAAATTGGCTTGGCTTGTATTTATGTTATAAATGGAAAACCACTTGCAGCCAGCGCTATCGCTAGCATATGAACCTGAAAGGAAGTACCAGATTTCAGCCAGCGGCGTAGCTAGGGTGGGGCAAGGGCACACATCCGTCCCCGGGCGCAGCATCCAAGAGGCGCCAAATTGATGCTACGAAATTTTTTAATGAAAGGTTTTCCATTCTTCGCATACAGAAAGCGGCCCAAATTCTTAAGTTGTCCCCGGGCGCTGGAAACTGTAGCTACGCCCCTGAGTTCAGCTGTACCATCCAGCTATTATGTCCAAATTTTTCCTAAGAGACCGTGAGCCCAAAAGTTTTGTAAGAATGTTAGATATATTTTTATTTTGATTGATTATAGCAAAATACACTGAGACTATCTGCCTAAGGGAAGAGATGCTTTTATGGAGAATTTTCTGAGGGAAACTAATTTGTATGCACTACGTTACACAAAAGAACGCCTATGCAACCAGATCTTTTTGTGCAAACAGAAATCGCGCCAAACTTTCAGTTTTTAAAGGTCGTGAAACTTGCTGAAATCCATAGTTTTATTGAGAATAAACGCAGACAGGATTTATACCTCAACGCAGGTGTTAATATCTTCAAACATCTTTAACAATAGACCTGTTAAAGAATTTTTAAACTTTTCATCGAACCATTCTCCGTAAATTATATAATGATAACGGGGGGGGGTGACCCGCCAATTTTTATTTTTACACTACTTTTTTTTTTTTTTTTTTTTTTTTTTTTTTTTTTTTTTTTTACAGTGCTTGTTATAGTTAGAAAACGTATTACATATATCTCAACCTGATTTTGTAAATTCTGCGTTAATTCAACATTTGTCGAAAATGAGGAAAATAAATTTTCTGAATTTGAAATACCGAATTTTTTTTAAATTGAATAAAATATTAATTTTTTATTCACTTATATAAAATCATTATGGTCTAAAAATATCAGTATAAAATATACCTTGAGTAAACTATTTTAATTTGAAAAGTTTAATTTAATAATATTGCTACAGCTGTTTTGTTTTGATTATTTACATTTTAAAAGCAAACATAAAGTACAAATAATGAGTTTTTTCTTTTTTTCTTTTTTTATTAGACATATATAATATATATAGCATAATCAGTTTACATTCAATGTTATATCCTGGGGCCTTCTATCAAAATATGATAGATCTACAGGGGCGTAGCTGGAGGGGGGCAAGAGGGGGCATCTGTCCCCGGGCGCAGAATCCAAGGTGTGCCAAACTGATGTTACGACATTTTAGAATTAAATGTTTTCCATCCTTGGCAAGCAGTAGGGGGGAGAGAAATCTTCAGTTGGCCCTGGGCGCTGAAAACCCTAGCACGACTCTGTAGATCTATTTCGATGATGGTGCTGCGGGAGACTGTATAGATCACTTTGGAGACGCCTGTCTTAGGATATATTTGATCGTCAGCAATTTTAATAACTGTAATTTTTTGTACAGGTCGTAAATAATATACGTATATAATCTTCAAACTTACCTTTATCCCGTATAAGCAAGTTATATACATATTTAAATTAATAAAAGTATTATTAACCGAAAGAAGCGTTAGGCTCAAAAGCGCTATTAATTTCGTTTTGGCATTTTGCGTCGATTTACTATAGATGTCAGTATCACTTTTCAAAGTGTTGCCACCAAATATGATCGCCATATTTCTTCATATTTAAATAAATTAAATAATAAAGAATCTGCAGGAATGTATGTACTGTGAAAAAACTGCGCTACCTAGAGACATCAAATTTTGAATAACATAATCCTCCATTCGAATATGGGCATCTGGAAGCTCACATATGGAATTTGTTTCATTATCGATTTCATATTTTGTAACACTTTAATGAATTTTTTATTAAGTTAATTAACTCAACGATTTCAAAGCGAGCAGTAGCAACACTGTACGTAAAAAAAAAAAAAAAAAAATCACTATTAAATGAAAATTTTTTTATCATATTATTACATTTTTATCTCCAGCGCGCGAGACTGTGTATCGGAAATTCTAAAGATATGCTCATTTTAAAATTATTTTGCTATATTGCTGTTCAGCTGAATTTTATGGTTTAAGCGCGAAGAACATGATATTTAATAAATAAAGGTAACACTGAAAATGTTAAAAAAAACGCTCTTTTGGGCGTAATGTAAAATCTGAAAGCTTTCAGATTTTTAGCCCAAAGGAGCATTAGCTCATAAGGGCTATTATTTAAAATTAATTTCTGTTTCTTTAATGCTTTCTTTAGAAGCAGCATAATGTCATTTATTTCGGTAAATACCCATCTCCCTTAGAAGGACGTTTTCTTTTTAACTGAAAGCTTTCTTAGACATTTATGTTATTTGTGCGGTGAAAGATTTAAAGCACTGGTTCTCAACCGGGTTGGTACCGCCCCCTCAGGGGCAGTGTAAGGATGCTGAGATCAGGGATAAATAGAAGGGCTAGCTCATTTCTTTGTTCGACTCCTCGCCGACGCGAGCCTAATGGGGGGACGTAACAGGCAATAATCTGACGTCACTGTGATGCCACCTGTCCTGATTTCCCGCGTTTAAAACAGTAGTTTCATTGAGCTGCGAGACGATTTTCTAGAGGTTACATATCCCAAATTAATTTTAATAATATATATATATATATGTTTTCTAATAATGTATATATTTAAAATAATTTATATATATGTAATTTTAGTCAGTTTTTATTTTAAATTCTATTTTGTAAAGTAGCGTTTACGTAATATGGCTTTTTGCGCTGCAGTAACGTGCCGTAGCACTTACAGAAGTATGAAAGGATGAGATATTTTATTTCATGGGACCAAAGAATCCAAATGAGAGTTTGCTTTTGACGAAAGAATGGATACACAAATGTCAAAGAGAAGATTCTATTAATGTGAAGAGCGGAAAAATCTGCAGCGAACATTTTCTGTGCAGTGTTTATGAGGATGATATGAAAAATCTCTTCTTTGGATAGCCACAAAAAGAAACTGTTGAAATGAAATGCTGTGCCGAAACTAAATTATGATGACAATAATAAATCGAAATTGATGATGACAATAATAAATCAAATTTTAATGATTTTGAAATAAAACTCACAAATGAAAATGTAGATCATCCTGAATGTTTAAGGATAAACAAGAATGCATTGATAATTTGAAGAACAAAATAATATCCTTAGAAAATTGTATTAAATTGTATTAAATGTATTGAAAAATAGAGAAAAGAAAAATTTTAGAATGTTTGTTCAGCGACAAAGAAGGTGGACGACATCTAGACAGAAATTGGTATCAGAAATTAAAATCTCAAATAGCGAAATTTGGGGGGGGGGACACGAAATCGGAGAATTTGGAAAAAATGTCTAAAGCCTATTTTATAAAGACGCAGATTAATGCATTACTGAAAAAGAAGAAGAAAAAAATCAGGTGGACTAGTAAAAATATTTTCACGTTGCATCGTCATAAGAGCTCTGTCATCTTAAAGCTATAATTTTTGGAAAGAAAAAAAATTAAGAAAAAAATTGGAATATCTTTACCTAGTATTATCAAATTAAAGAAAATGGTGTTTATTTTTATTTTTTAGTGTTTTCTAAATTTTAGTGTAGTTCAAGAATTCAAAGTAATGTTCTTACTCTAAAGAAGGAAAGAGGCGAATATTTGTATTCTGTAGAAAAAATATGCGTTCTCATTTTCGACGAAATGCATATAGATTGAAAACTCTGCTATGACTCTAAACTGGACTAAGTTGGTTCTTTTCAAAATGTGCAGTTTGTTTTAATCAGATGTCTCATTTCGCGCTCTGCCTCAAATTACTGAGAAACCGCGTTTTAGATAGAGAATTTGTTTTAGAAGATGTAACTGTTTTAAATTTTGATATTATTAAAGAGGTTTTAAATAGAGATTGAGAAGAAATCAAATTGTGTCACAAACTAAAACCAAATTCTTTAATGGTCAAGGAAACGAGAGACAAAAAGTCGCTCCAGAGAAAACATTATTTTCAAGAACGTACCGCAAGAAGGTATACTCCACCCCACAGGAAATCAAAAAGCATCTGACTTCTATGAGTTAATCGATAATATCTTCGGTATTATGAATAGTACCAAAATAGTACCAACAAGAATAACAAGTACTTTAACAAACTAATTTTGTTAAGTACTTGTTAAAGTTATTCTTATTGTATCCTTTGTAACTAATTATTGATTCGAATTTGTGCTAAATTAGCATTCTAGCAGATAAAAT